GGCTTCGAGACCATGACTGAGATCCAACAACGGACTATCGCCCCGCTGCTCGCTGGTCGCGATGTGCTCGGTGCTGCAAAGACGGGTTCCGGAAAGACTCTTTCGTTCTTGATCCCTGCGGTGGAGATGCTGAGCGCTTTGCGGTTCAAGCCTCGTAACGGTGTGTATTCTGTGCATTCGATCCTTCGTTCCGATTGCGTGCTAATTTGCTATAGGTACTGGTGTTCTCGTTGTCTCCCCCACCAGAGAGCTGGCTTTGCAGATCTTTGGTGTTGCTAGAGAATTGATGGCGCACCACTCCCAGACATATGGTATCGTCATTGGAGGTGCCAACCGGAGAGCCGAGGCCGAGAAGCTCACCAAAGGTGTCAACTTGCTCATCGCTACCCCTGGACGTTTGCTCGATCACCTGCAAAATACCCCTGGATTCGTGTTCAAGAACTTGAAGACGCTAGTTATCGGTGCGTTGCTCCAACTAAAGACCTTTTGGGCTGGGATGAGTACTAACCCATTTCAGACGAGGCGGACCGTATTCTGGAAGTCGGTTTCGAGGATGAAATGCGCCAGATCGTTAAGATTCTGCCCTCCGAGGAAAGACAGACCATGCTGTTCTCCGCTACGCAAACGACCAAGGTCGAGGATTTGGCCCGCATTTCGCTGCGACCCGGTCCCCTGTACATCAACGTCGACCACCGTAAGGAACACAGTACTGTTGAGGGTTTGGAGCAGGGCTACGTCGTTTGTGAAGCAGACAAGCGGTTCTTGCTTCTGTTCTCTTTCCTCAAGCGCAACCTCAAGAAAAAGATCATCGTCTTCTTCTCCAGCTGTAACTGCGTGAAGTACCACGCTGAGTTGCTCAACTACATTGATCTCCCGGTTCTCGACCTCCACGGCAAGCAGAAGCAGCAGAAGCGCACCAACACCTTTTTCGAGTTCTGTAATGCCAAGCAGGGAACTTTAATCTGTACTGACGTTGCTGCTAGAGGTTTGGATGTATGTTGCCTTGTCTCAAATCACCGATAAACATATCTGATTCCTTGCTAGATTCCGGCTGTCGACTGGATCATCCAGTTCGACCCCCCAGATGACACCAGAGATTACGTCCACCGTGTTGGTCGTACGGCTCGTGGTGTGGACGGAAAGGGACGCAGTCTGATGTTCCTCCAGCCCTCTGAGGTCGGATTTCTGAAGCACCTGAAGGAGGCTCGTGTTCCTGTTGTGGAATTCGACTTCCCCGCCAACAAGATCGTCAACGTCCAGTCCCAGCTTGAGAAGCTGATCGGCCAGAACTACTACTTGAACAAGGTGAGTCTGACTACTGCCTTTGCTCTCATTCTTCGGATGCTAACCGTTTCTTCAGTCTGCCAAGGAAGGTTACCGTGCATACCTCCAGGCCTATGCCTCACACTCGCTCCGCTCCGTCTTTGACGTGCACAAGCTCGACCTGGTCAAGGTGGCCAAGGGCTTCGGCTTCTCGACGCCCCCCCGCATCGATATCACACTAGGCTCTAGTTTGAGCCGCGACAAGAAGCAGCAGCAGCAGGGCCGGCGCAACTACGGCAGCCAGCCCAGGAACAAGGGGCTGAAGTTCAAGCGGAAGCACGATGACGATGAATGAGTCAGCGCAGAGCAAAAGTGATTGATTGTTAACATTGTGTGGTTTTTCGAGTTTTGGCATATAGTCTCGGAGTTTGATACTGTGGATATTTGGCTTGTCTACTACATATGGTTGTTCTTCAATTGTAATTGTGTCCTTTCCTTTTCATATAAACGCCGAGCAGGAGGTGGAACCTAGACACCTGGAAGTTATAGCTCTGAGGAGATCATGGACTCGATCATCATATCGAAATGCGAATCAGGAATGGCTGAGCGACTTTGCATCAGCATTATTGAGTCGAATTGCTTCTTCATGTCCTCGCTACAAAGAAAAAGAGCAAGTCTGGTCTATGACCTTATGATTGAAGATTCAAGGTACCCACATCTTATCTAGCGATGCGATGATTGATAGTGCATGCGATGGCTGAGTGGTACAACTGCCGATTTCATGCATTCCTTGTCAGGAGTACAAGCTATAAGTAGATCCGAGCTCAGCCTAGTGCTTGAACATGATTTATTCGAGTCGTGACCTAGCCCGGCTCTCTCGAGTGAGTCAGTAGATTGACTCTGGACAACCCAGAATGCCCGATACCTCTATTGTTTGCATTGGACGAGGCATGGCCCAAAGGGTCTGCTTGCCTAATCTGGTAGTTAGGAATGAAGGCGGGAGTGCCAGGGAGAGAAGAAGCCTTGCACCGAAGAAACAAATTAAACTTCTCCATCTACGTCTTTTACTCGAATTCAACCGCCGTTGAGTAGTACATAATATACATCGCACAGCGAACGTGCACAGTCATTATTATCATTTTTTTTTTTGCAGGATACACAGTCCATGCAACAAGAAAAGCTGCCCGGTCCGTCAAACGGCTGCACGTCCGATATGCGTCCTGACTCCTGCCTAACTGCCGACGGCCATTGCTCACCACCTACCCCCTCAATCGGGGTTTCTCACCGCCGAATTGGCGAAAATCAGCATTGGGAGTAAGATGCATCTTGCTTTCGAACCTTGTCTCCCAGTTGCAAGGAGCATAGGTGGCTGGTCAGGAAGTCTCTTATTCTTCCGGTGGCTGGGAAAGTCAGTCAGTCAGTCATGGATCCACTGCCGTGTGGTCTGTCCGCTGAATCCACCATTCACACTACTCTCGGCATCCATGACCACCAGCATCAACCAACGTTGCATGCAAAGAGAGGCAATAAGCAGCCTGAACCTTGATCGTCGTGGTCCGACTGGCTGAACCTCGTGACGATGGTCGCCAATCAACGTCAAGAATCGCAACGACGGCATTGTGGTGAGTTGGCAGATTTTAACCGCCCAAAGAGACCGAAACGGTCGGTCGTCCTGGAGACCCACGTCCGGTCGGTGGGTGTTCAGGGAAGAGCGAACGGGCCTGAGGAGCTTTGCTCTGCCCGCGGCCTGGGGAACAAGTCAGACTCTCCAGCCCGCGGGTCCGCGGCGGGTCGGACAGGCCCACCGCTGGGAACATTTGGATCGGTCTCCCTCTGCGGTACCTACACTAGTCGCTTGAATCTGATGCTGTCCGTTTACAACAAATGGATGATGGCGGTGGTGCAGTGGTGATGGGTGGACAGAGTGACGCTGCTCGTTTCAGCTTCTGGAGATCGTGGCGATTTTATGATGGGTCACAGAGAGGACATTTTTTACGAATGTTCTGGCTACTTGTGTTTCATGCTCTATAAATCCCAGCCAATTCCCTGAGAGCAAACCCGCGACAGCCTGTTTTTCTCCAGCTCAATTCCATCGCCAGGATGGGAGGGTTCTTCGCCTCCTCGCCCCCTCTCACACCTGTACAACCGTTATAGGACCACCCAAGACCCAGAATGCCAGACGGGCAGGATACAGATCACATTTTGGGTTGCACCACGGAGGTAATAACCCGCTTGTCGCTTGGTAGTAGACATGCAATGTCGAAGGCATCCTTGGAGCGGACAATGCCTATCCTACGGAATTTGAGGCTTTCTTGCGCTCGAGTAAAGTGCGGCGATACCGGGAAATCTGAGAGGAGAACGATCGGAATCGAACGATTCGAGAAAGTCCCCGGGTGAGGATGAATGGTACTTATTTATACTTCGATCCCAAGGGGAGGAGGTTCGGATCACGCAAAGCTCGGTCACCTTGCATGAATCTCACTCTGCTGGGAAACAGAAGACAAAACAGACACACGTAAGAAAGGAAAAGCCCACTTCTATCGAACCCAACCAACGTGGAAAAGAACAATGGACACCCAAAGCGAGGACGATCGAAGCTCTTCCAGCAGAATATAAGGTGGGAAACCCGATGCTGGCGAGGCTGGAGAGAATGAGAGTGATGCTTATGCTTCCAGTGGAAGGGCGACAGTGTTGCTCTTATTGTTCGAAGCTGTTGTTGGGTTACAACATTTTCTTTTCTTTTTTTTTTCTTTCCTTTTTTAGGTTTTTACTCTCAGGAGTTAATCTGTGCCAGCTCATTCATTGTAATCGGCGTACCTTACTTAAGTCTGCCTCGACGACGAGGAAGAGGAAGAGGAAGAAGAGAAGAGGGTGGTGGCTACTACTAACAGCTAAATCTCACTAGCCATCCATCAACAGCCAATGTTGATGATATTCCTTGACCAGCCTTCTGCTTTTTTGCCCACTTTTTCCCCTCTTCTTTTCTGCCTCTCAGTCTGTTAGCTTCGGACTTGTTCCCACCAAACCCTGCCTTGTACCTGATTGAATCCTTCAATCTCCCGAGTCCGAGGTCTCTCCCCTTCCCTCTCCCTCTTTGGGCTGCAGTGATAATTTGATTTCTTTTTCCCAGCGCGTTTCCCCGTGTGATTGTGATTATTATTTTGATTATTATCGAGCATTGTTATTTTTCTCTTTGTGCAACTTAATTTGCTTTCCCTCCCCATCTTTGTTCTCTGGCTGGACAGCCACCGATGCATGGGGACTTTTGCGGTGAATGCACATGGCCACCAACTAAAGAGGATGATTTGATATTTGATTGATTGATTGCATTATCCACTCCCAGTGAGGGATCTTCAACAACTCGCCTCTTCTTTCCCTCTCTTTCCTATTCTTCCCCAGCCCGCCCTCTCTCTCTCTCTCTCCGTTTCTCAGTTCTTTTCTGAGCTGTGTGAGCTGTGTTCCGGCTGGTAGAGAATCGAGAATCGCGCAGTGTTGCTACAATCGCATTCACCCAACCTTCCTCCGCCCTGTCTCCCCCTCCAGTGCTGGTACGCTGTTCTTTCTTTGGTTATTCTTGTTGATATCGATCGCATCCTTGCCTGTTTCCTGCCTTTATCCATCCCCACTCCCTCACTTCCTTCCTGCCTGGGTCTGTTTGTGCATCGTCCGATCGGGCCGAGCTTGTAGTGAGACTCCAATCTGCTAACCAGCAGCCGGGGATCCAGAACCATTCTCACTACTCATTCATCCACATTTACTCAATCTATCTCTCCATCCCCTCCTCCCCCTGCACGCTTCCTGCCCCCCTCCCCCCTCCTTTCAGAATAAAAAAAGCATAAGCCTCTCCAAGGTCCTAAAAAAAGAAATCCGGCCGATGATGATTCGGTTTGGCTGAGAGGGAAGGGAAAAGAAAACAAACGAGACCTACTCACTCCTTTGATTTCCTTTCCTTATCGGCCACGATGATGGGCGTCGAGACGCGCAGAAGACCGGTCTTGCCTGCCCCCACAGAATCCATTGTCGACACCAACACCACAGGTGGCAGCGTCACAGGCACTGATCTGGCAACTGACATCTCTCGCCGCACAGACAAAACCTCTTACTCCATTCCAGACGACGGGACTCCCGTCACCATCCCCACTCGTCGGAACCACCACCATCACCGTGGTTCCCGCGGGGACGATTCCAAGCTGTCCCGCTCATCGCAACACTCCCAGACCTCCCTGCTCATCGAGTATTTCGAGGGCGGGAAGGGTTCTGGCTCCCTGGTTTCCCGGCCCAGCGTCCGTGTTCGAGTGACCCCTTCCTCCGCGCGGAAGCTGAAGGATCAGAAAGACCATATTCAAATCACCGAGTCTAGCGGCAACCGGAAACCGGTTTACTCCCGCCGCATTTCTCTCAGCTCGCCCCACAAGCACAGGGTACTGGCCGAGTCCGGCCCCGATGATCAAAGTATAAGCTCCTCCAACTCGGCTACTGATGAGAACCAGCCTCCTGGTCATTCCCCCGTTGAGATCGAGCTCATGGATCGCCACCGAGGCAGTGAGGTTTCCAGCCTGTCGCGCGACACACGGTACATGCTGCCCACATCCGACATCTCGTCCATGCCTGCAGATAGCATGCTTGACGCCCCTTCGTCTGGTCTCCGTCGCAAAGGTAGTTCAAGTCTAGAGAGAGGCCATAGCCACGAGTCCAAGGACTACCTCAAGACTCCTAGACGGCAAAGAAGCCGGAGCTTAAGCACCGAGCGGATTGCCCATCGCGTGGCAGAGAAGCTTAGCAACGACCCTCGCGACGGCTCTCGACAACGCCGACGGACCGAACGCACCAGAGTCGACGACAGTGAGGAGGCCGACCTCAAGTCCCCGCGGCATCGGGGACACGACGATATGATGAGTCCTGAATCCAGCCTCCTCAGCGCCTCGGCCGTCTCCTCGCATCGTCGATCCGGTGACCAGTACTCCTTCCGATCCGGTACCTCCAAATCGTCTATCAACAACCCGAAACTACTTGAAACCGTTGAGGACGCGATCCGGAGATTGATCCTGCCTGAACTGAAAGAGCTGAAGAAAGACCAGAAAGTCATATCTAATACATCCAAATTCGACCGAGAGATGAACGCCTCGCACTCGTCCACCAGCACACCTTCACGCGATGAATTGGGGAGGCGACTGTCCAAACATGCAAGTGCGCCTGACGTGCGAAAGCCCAAAGTCGTGCTCAACAAGGACAGCCGTGACGAGGGGGTTGTTCTGTCAGGAGATTCGGTCCCTTCTCAGAACAACGAGCGACGGTCGAGTAAGGGTAGCGAAAAGTCCCCGGATGTTGGCTACATCAAGTGGGTCAATCGCCCGGAACTGACTGAGCAAGAGAAGCTACGTCGTCAAAGAAGCAAAGGGTTGCGTGAGGCGGAGAAAGCGGCCATCGTGGGTAGCGCTTTGACGGCAGCGGCGCTCCAACATCACGACTCGCGTTCCAGCCTGGCTAGTAGTGAAGGAAGACGGAGAAGCAGTGGGCCCAAAAGCCCCACTAGCAGTATCAACGAAACCGAGCTGGTCTTCCAGAGACATAATATTGCCCCCATGCCGCTTCGCAGTGCAATTGAGTCGGACTTGACGAGGGCTTCATTGCTTTCGGAGCAGTCTGCTGAGCCCTACCCTTACGATCAGTCCAAGCTTCAGGACTTTTCGCGTGGGTCGCCTTACCAGACCATCTCCCCTGCTCCACGCACCCCGGATCGAGCTTCGTTGGACTCGCGGCATGAGCTGAAGCTTAAGCACAGCAACCTCTCCAGTCACGATTTGTCTCTACGCAGCGTGTCAAGCCGATCGTCTGTGGGAGATGCAGCGGCTGGGACTATTGCGGCGGCGGCTGCAGCGAACCTGCTCGACGATCACCCAGGACATCATGATACCGATTACAGTGATCTTCCAAGCCGACGGCGGACACTAAGCCCGATACAAAGCGTGGCGAGCAACATTAGCCAATCTCCAGTCAAACAGGACATGACTATCTATGATCACCACGACTATTCTGATGATGAGAAAGGGCTGGAGCCACGTCTATCGATCGATTCCCTCTCGTCTGCTCCCAGCACCAATCTTGCGAGGTCAACCCGACCGGAAGGCCTCAGCATCAACAGCCAAACTGAATCTCTTCGCAATCAGCACGATCCCGGACACGAGCTGGGGTATGAGGAGACGCCTAGAGCATCGCCACGAGCCAGTCGCTGGGCGGAACGTTCTGACGGAGAAGACGAGAATGATACCTTTCAACACTCGACCGCGAGCAACGAGGGTAAAAGAATGCCCGCGTACAACGAGGACAGCGAAGTTGAGTTCATGGATACCGCGAAGCAAGGTCAACCTGTCGCTGAAGGCATCGCCGCTAACCCTCGATTTGTCCACCCACTCGCAGTGGAGTCCGCGGTGGCCTCGCTCTTGGAGCCCACCATTCTGGATACCAAGTCCACCCAATCTGCGGCTAATCGCTCCATGAACGACATCCCGGAACAGGCGGAAAGCGACGAAGAGGAGAGGGAGAATTCCGACGAGACTCCCCATGCTTCTCGCCAAGGAAGCCCCTTCAAGCAAGGCAACAATGCGCCAAGCCCTGATGCTACATCGTTTCCAAGACGTATGGGTGCCACTTCTCCTCCGCAGAGTGTCACTCAGTCCTACGAAGATCTGACAGATCCGAACCAAATGTTCGCCGGTATCCGTGACCAGAGTCCTCTTCCGGAGGTGGAAGACCTACTTCCAGATACCGAGTCGGAGATCAACACCAACCCTTCCATCATCCAAGGGCCGGCGGCTCAAGAAGCTAGTTGGTCGTTCAATCACACATCTTCGAAAGACGCGCCGTCTCCTCTCTTTGATAAGGGTGGCGCTGCGGCTGGCGCTGCGGCTGGTGCGGGTCTGGGTCTCGGGTCGGTCGACCACGGTCACTACAATCAGGAATACTATCCCGAGGACGAATACGCTGCGAATGATTACTATGACCAGCAATATAATCGGCAGTTGTATGGAACGCCCCTTGGAGCCAAAGATGAGGGCTACGTCTCTGCTGCGAATCCTCGCTCCCCTAGCGCTGACACACCCGAACCACTTGATAAGGGAATGGGAGGGATCGACGCAAATATGGGCTTGTTTGATGGTCCCATGGGAGCTGACGACTTTATGCCTGGCCATCAGCGGCAGCTGAGCGGGTATTCCCACGGGGTTGGATCGCCGTTGTACGACAGTGCCACGGGCAAAGGTATTGATCGAATACAGTCGAAGGATATTGTCGCACTCATGGACCATCTCACTGTTCGCGATGCGCAACGGAATGCCAGAGATACGGAGATTCTGGTGACATTGGTTCGAAGCGCCGCCGAAATGCGCAACTCGTTCGAGGAGATGAAGAAGTTTATCGCTCAGCAAGATGGGATGCTCATGGAGGCCAGCGACCGACAGCATGAGCGTACATATCGGGCTGTCGGGGGGCCGCGTCCACTGCCGGTCAGTGCGCGGAGCGCTCGTCAGATGTCTATGGATGATGGCGAGGAGCTGAGCCAAAAGCGGAAGAACATCTTCAAACGTGCGCTCAAGGGCTTGAGTATGAAGAACTCGAATGACTTGACCAAGATCGAGGATATGTTGGAGCAGTTGCTCGAGGAGGTCGAGGCTTTGCGCCAAAATCAAGACAATGGGTTCGGGCGCAATGGCAATCGGGCGGCGAGTGTTGACCCTGAAGGGTATGAGCCAGAGGGTCATGCGGGAACGTCGTCTCCTGGCAATCCTTCCGAATACCTTTCCACGTCGTCACAGCTCGTCCAGGACCCCACTCAGTTCCGCAAGGGCCTCGAGAACCGCGTGAGCACGGTCCAAGAAGTCGATGAGGATCTGGAAGACGATCGCGGAGAGTTCCTCAGTCCCCATCTGGTGTCTCAGCCACCTCCCAACAACCGACAGGACAGAGCTGGCTCGGCTCCTGTCTCGACGCCTCCTCGGGATGCAATGGCTTCGGGAGCCCTCAGCACCGACACTACCCCGAAGATGACGGAGAAGGCCAAGAAGCACAAGTCCAGCAGCTCCTCATTCTTCCCCAAGATCTCGCGCTGGTCGAAAACGACTGCCTCCTCGATGGGCGACAATATCCGCAACAGTATTCAGCCGAGCCGCAAAGAGCGAGCGTCTTTCGATGCTTCACGCTCCGGGTCTGACCTTGCACAGGGCCCATACCAGACGACGAATTACTATGATCCTCAGGGTGATGACCGCCTGCGGTCCAATTACACACTGGATGATCAGCAGCACGAGAACCGACCCCCGTCGCCACTGGTGCCGTCTCAGGTGTCAGAAACGCCCAAGTATCGGGCTCACCGTGGTAGCCTCGACCTGCATCACCCCCAGCCCCGGCAAGGGCCGACCGGACGGTACCAGTCTCAGCTGGAAACGCAGGCTCAGGTTTACACCGCGCCTTCAGACCAGTGGGGATCGAATCCCAGCTTGTCGGGCGTGAACACCAACCCGCGCTACAGTGGTGGTGGCCGGCTGTCTCCGATCTCGGACACCGGCTATTCAGAAGCGAGCTCTCGCCATACGGGACCCCCACGGCCGCCGAAGATCAAAGATGAGGGCCCTCTGATTCCGGAACGACCCCCGAAGGTCAAGGAGGATGACGAGCGGTCTTATATGGATCGTGTCGTATCACGGGTTAGTGGCCACGCCTGGAAGGGACGACTGAAACGAAGGATGCTGACGATGTTTTTGTAGAGTTCTGCTGTTCAGTCCCCCCGCAGCACGCCTCCTCCTCGCAAACCGACCGGACCTCGTCCCCTCAACTCGGGCAACCAGTACAGCCCGGCCCGACGGAAGCGAAGCCAGTATCGAGCTAGCAGTCCCGAGCAGGTTGATGCTGAACTTGACTAGACGTGATAATGTCAATTGATACCCTTTCTTTGTTTTGCTTGTTGCGCGCATTTACGACATAATGACATGACTAGTTGCACCATGTGCCATGACCAGCGCCTTGCATTTTGTGCGAGCGTGATCTTTGTTTTGCAGGTGGATGAGGTTGTACCTGTGATTTTTGTTATACCATGTATCCATTTGCTGTTCTATAGTGATGCCCCTACATATTGATTTGCGTGATTGATATACTGATACTGCATAGTTGGGCACGACCGCTACTATGTTTGTAGACTGATGATGCATTGCCGGTTTGCCTGATTTCAGCATGTTTAACTAGCCTGTTGGTCTTATCTTATCGTGCTTGTGGATGCTGGCATGAGGGGCAAGGGAAGAATGGGGGTGCAAGAGATAGGTGGGGGTGAGATGAGTTGCCTCTCAGTCATGTCTGTATCCACTTACTCCTCGTATGATGCCATTGGAACAAATTGGATTGGCGAGCCTCTGTTGTAGATGCATGAGGTTACTAATAAGTCCTCTACCTGCAATCGTGTTGGCAGTGATTGAACCACGGCTCTTGTGGTTTTGATGCGGGGTACAAAACACGGGGAAGTATAAGAACATCGTCATGTCTCTGCTTCTCCCACTCCCCCCGATTCCACCTGGCATTGGAAGAGTTCTTCAGAACGTATTCAGCAACCATGACAACTTCAAAAGAATCTCCATCTCTATCTTCATCCTCCTCCCTCGATTTCATCATATGCTCAACCTGCGGCACGCAATTCCCCTCTCCAACCCCACCACCCAACTGCAAGATCTGCGACGACCCACGCCAATTCATCCCTCCCACGGGGTGAGCTTCCTCCTTCTTTCTTCCCCTTCCTTTTCCTTCTCCTCTTTCAACCAAATCTAACTAAGTATATATAAATGAAAAGCCAAGGATGGACCACCCTCCGCACCCTCCGCAACAACAACAACAACAACAGCAATGCACCACCAAAATATCACAACGAATTCCACCCCATGGCCCCAACCCACCCAAACCTAATCGCCATCCACACCGTCCCCAAACTCGCCATCGGCCACCGCGCCTTCCTCTGCCGTACTCCCCACGGCAATATCCTATGGGACTGCATCCCGTTCCTGGATGAGGCCACCATCGAAAAGATCCACGCGCTCGGCGGCCTCCGCGCCATCGTCATCTCGCATCCGCATTACTACGCCTCGCACCTGGAGTGGGCGGCTACGTTTCGGTGTCGGGTTTTCTTGGCGGCTGAGGATGAGGAGTGGGTTGTTCGGAGGGAGGAGGGGCAGGTTTTTTGGGAGGGCAAGGGGTTGGGGATTTCGGATTTAGTGGGGGATGAGGGTGCTGCGCTTGCCGATGGTCCTTCTGGGATTGAGGATGGGGAGGACGAGCTGCAGGTCATCAAGACGGGCGGCCATTTCCCCGGCAGCGCGGTGCTGTGGTGGCGTGCGCAGCGCACCCTGTTGATCGCTGATACTATCGGCACTGTGCCTAGTGGGATCTATCATGTCGATCGGGTGCCGGGGACCGCGTCGTTTACTTTCATGTGGTCTTATCCTAATATGGTTCGTTTCGATTCATTTGGGTTGGATTGTTGGGAAGGCCAGGAGAAGAGGAACAGGGAAAGAAAGGCTGACTGACTTTCGTTCTAGATTCCCTTGCCCCCGGATGAGGTCCTCCAGATCTGGAAGGCTATCAAGCATGCGGACTTCGACTCCACCTACGGCGCGTTTGTGGGCATGCACACCCACGGCGAAAGCAAGAAGCGCATTCTCGAGAGTGCGCAGATCTTCGTCAGGGCCATGGGCTACGTGGATCATGCCATTCATCTGGAAGACTGTCCTTGATTGTGGAGGTATAAGGTATACTGTACACTGACTGCGTTCGCCTCCCCACCCTGTCACTGTATATTCATATAAAGTCCCAATGTCCCGCCTCGCGATGCTTTCGCTCAGGAAACGGAAGCAATGATTCTTTGTATAGTCCAAAGTACAGACCAGTTAATGATATACACACACGTCTGTTGAGCCTGACATGCACTTAAGCTTCGGTATACGGCCTCGCAGAGGTCTGTCCGATCGCCCCAGCAGCATCAGAGGAGCCATTCTCTGCATCCTGGGCCAGACCAGCTCCAGGACGTTGCGACGCGGTGGCCAACCAGCTCAGCTCCACCCCATCACTGATCGGGAACTGGCCGGGGAAGGTATCTACCGAGCAAGCCGGCTGCAACCGATCATCACCAATCTCCTCCACCACGACCGGCTCTCCGCGTTGCTGCGCCGCCTCATTATCCGTCGCGGCGACCGAGGCAACCGACCACGGCTGGCTCAGCACGCTGAACCGCAACCGCTCCGTCATGAACCCGGAGTAGCGAATATGTGGAAGCACGGTGCTCTGGCGATGTTCCGACCCCAACGATACACTCCTTCTTAGGGTGGCCGAGTAGATCGAGTCACTGACGCGCGGTGGGTAGACGAGGGTCGAGTCCGCGGCGGTGGCGGCGGCGGCGCCTCCTCCTCCTCCGCTTCCCCCTTTGGTCACAGTGCTGTCTCTGGTGCGCTTCGAAACCGCACGGTTTGATATTCGGGTGGATAAGACGCTTGCCTTGGATGGCTGCGGCGTATTTTTCTTCTGGTGGAGTGAGCCGGCGCTCACTTCGAGCTCGGTGGGAGTGATGGGGCATGATAAACTGTTGAGATTCTTCATCACCTGGGCATCGACAGTGGAATGACGGAGGTGGTGTTGCTGTGCAGCTTCCGGGTCATCGGGGAGAGACAGGTCGGCGGATTCGAGGCCCATGATAAGGGCGCTGAGATGGACGATCCGACGTTCTTTGCGGCGGATGGCCTGGCAGAGACCGATGCGGTGGGTGATGTCGGAGGATGGATCGATGTCACGCAGGAAGGCTACGAAAAGTAGCAGGTTGAGCATCAGGATGGTGCCGGTCAGATGGAGGGCTCGACTGAGACTGGCGCCGGGGAGGGAGGGCTGATCGCGGTGGTCAGCCATGTTGGTCGGGTTCGATGGTGGTGGTGGTTGAGCGGGTCGGTGGGTTGTAATTATGGACGACTTGGGGAGGGGGGATGGTGAGATGAAAAAGATAGTGAATGCATCCATGATAGGTGGTCTTCAGGTTGGGAGTTTTGGTCGAGGATGGATTAAGTGGTGGTGGGCGAGGAGTGAGTGTGTCCTTCCTTCGTTGTGGGAGGAAGGAACTACTCGCGCCTGCTTAAACCGACAGTCTTCACATGGTGGATAGACTTTCAAATTGAAGTCTTTGTATTGTATGCATGCATGCATACATGCACAGGGGCTGGCAACATCCTCTTGTCTATACAAAAGTATGGAAATAACTGAAGTATATAAGTTGTCTCGACCTTCTCCGCATTCCACCCAAGCTGTCTTTATCTTATCGGCCACGGCGCCACTCGGACCCGCAAACGTCAGACTCTCTCCACCGTCTCCATCTCCATCTCCCATGAACTCAGACCGATTGACTCACGGCCACCCATCTTCAATGCTCCCCTTCACCCTCAATCCACTCCGTCTCTACCCTCGCTTCATGGCCACTCTCGCAGCCAGCAGTTCCCCCCTCCGTCAACGGCGCTTCGCCCCCCTCAACCATGCGGAGAACCGCGGAGATGGCTCCGCACCAGCTCTGAGAGGCATCGTCTTCGACGTAGACGGCACATTATGGTGAGCGTCACCCCTTCCTTTCCCCCTTAACGCACATCAACAACCTAATCGCAATGATAATAGCCTTCCTCAGAATTATATGTTCTCCGAAATGCGGTAAAGAAACACCAAGAACCCCCAGTCCCCGCACCCCCGCATCCCCAGCCAGCCACAAAAAGAACCAGATCTTGCACAGCATCTCTAAACAACATGCATGACCCCTACAGAGCCGTCCTGGGCATTGACAAACAAACCGATATATTGCACCACATCGCCCGCCTCCCCACGCCGGACGCCCGTCTCGAAGCCGCCAACAAAATCAAGGCCATCGAGCGCGAGGCCATGCGCCATCAGCAACCGCAACCCGGCTTAGTGGATCTGATGGATTATCTGGAGACGAAGGGGGTGCGGCGGGCGCTTTGTACGCGGAACTTCGAGTATGATTTTTCCTCTCTTCCCAACACGCTTCAACTTCCTGGCTGATGAGATGGTAAACCTATTTTTTTGTAATAACTATAGGGCACCCGTGACGAATCTCCTGCAGAACCATCTCCCCGCTCATGTATTCCTACCGATCATCACCCGCGAGACGCCAGGCTTGATGCCCAAGCCCGATCCCGCGGGGATCTTGCATATTGCGAGTGAGTGGGGGTTGGAGGGTGGTGGCCAGAATTTGATTATGGTGCGTCCCTTCTTCGTTTCCCCTGCTATTCTATTGTGGTAGGCCTTATGTTTTTGCTAATTCTCTTGGAATCAGGTCGGAGATAGTCTCGATGATATGACGGCCGGTCATACGGCCGGGGCCGCGACCGTGCTCCTTCTCAATGACCATAATGCTCATCTGAAAGACCATGCGCACACGGATCTCTGCATTGAGCGGCTAGATGAGCTGGTTGACATTCTCGACCGCGGCTTTGTCGGCCACAGGGGTGGGGATAAACTCCCCACGACCGACGCCTCCATGCCGGAGGTATCGGCTCAATGATTTATATAGAAAAGACGATGGCTTTTGTGGCATTTGTACATAGCTCTAGAAAAGGGCCTGCCGTGGCCCTTTCCGTGTGTCGAAGACCATAAGACAGAAAGAAAGAAAAAGTAATCGCCTCGGGGTATAGCCAAGTACGCAAACATACATATGTACCCGCGGCCACTCGTAGAGGGGTATCTATCAATCGCATCGAGTCAATCAACCATTCACATCCTGTATCGGTCCCAGGCCTTTCGACCGGCGCTGGGCAGCGGTCGGTATGCATCCCCTCCGCCTCCTCCGCCTCCTCTCTTTCCACCCCGGCCTCCGCCGCGCCCTCCTCCCCCTCCCCCTGCGCCCCCTCTAGCCGGCCGAGATGGAGGCGCAGGTGGTCTTCCACCGCGCCCTCCGGCCGAAGGTTGGTAACTATCTCGGCCTCGTCCACCACTGCCGCCGCCACCGCCACGACCACCGCGAGCGGGACGACCATTCGGCGACAAGGACCGCTGCCGGTCGCGATAGCCGCCACTCGCTGGTGCAATGTTTCTATTGTTCGTGCCGATGCCGGCTCCGAACCGGATGTGGCCACGGTTGTTATTGTTCCGGTTGACGGGTTGGCGCGGACGACTCAGCATATCGTCGCTGTCGGAGGATGGTGCACGCTGCTGGCGCTGCTGGTCAGCCCGCCCGCGGATCTTCATCCCGCGTCCGGGCCCTTGGCCGCCTCGCGCGCCGCCGCCGCGCCGCGAACTCACCACCGAATTGATATTCGTGATCATGCGCTCGTCGATACCGCGGAGGGTCCACGTGGATGAAGCGAGGGGTTTAGTGAGGGAGGGGCAGTCTCCAATGAGGTGGCGGTTGCTGGTGCACTTTGCGCAGGAGATGGAGACGAGGACAGGGCCGAGCGACGCAGAGTCTTGTTGATGGTCGAGCTTCCACATGTGATCGCAGTCGAGTTCAAGGTGCTCGGATGAGCCGCAGAGGTCGCATGGGACCTCGGAGGCGGAGCTTTTAAGGGCGGAGGGGCAGGCGTCATCGTCGTGGCCGCGCTCGCGACAGCGTTGGCAGCGTCGCCAGGTGGGGCAGAAGCTGCTTTGGTGTTCATTCCAGGCGTGGCAGTGGGCGCACTGTCCAGGTTAGCTATCTCTGCATGAGAACTTGATCGGGGGTTAGTCATGCATACCTCCTTGGAGGGACAGACTTCTGCGAGATGTCCCTCTTGTAAGCACTCCGTACAAGCGATCGGGAGTTGAAGATCGATGGCGTTGATGTCGCGATCATAGAATCGATACTTCGCCTGAAAGTCCATGTCTTCCCGATCAAGATCCGCGAGGACAGAGGGAGCGGTCGGATACTTTTCGGAGTATCGGCGGAGTGCATCCTCTTTTGACATCTTCGGGGCGCCATCGATGAGATCGTCTTGTGTGCTGCGACTCTTGCGACCATTCGCCGTCGGCCGGGTGCCCAGATCGTAGTCAACGTCGCCATCTGGAGTAAAAATACCGTCCTGAGTCTGACCAAGATTCTGGCCGGGACCCCGGTCCCCGATGTTCAACAAAATCGAGTCATCAGCCTCCGAGTCCAAGGATTCCGAATCGTCCGAGTCCCCTGAGCCCTGTATATCGCTCGAGTCGGCAGATCTCTCCGCCTCGTCCACTTCACCCTCCTCCATCTCGTCATCTTGGTCGTACTTGCTTGACGCGGCGTCGTCGCGGTCGCCGGCCGAGGATGTCGACACACTCCGACTGCGCCAGAACTTGTCATTGACCACGTCGAATTTCGAAGCAGTAGGCTTCTGGCTCTCCTCGCCCGTGTTGCGACTTCCGCGCAGCGACGTCCTGATGGCACTTTTGCTGCCCTTGTTCCAACTGATGGGTGGTGCGGCGGCGGCGGCCTGCGGCTTGGATGCCGCGTCGCCTTTGTCTTCCGACGAACTGGTGCCCGCGGATTCGCTATCTGAGCCGGATGAGGAAGTCTCGTCAGGGTCTATATCGAGAGAGTTGGCGCTGAAGGTCGCACCCTGGGGCACAAAGTCCTCGACCTTGCGCTCATCGGGATTGCCGTTGCGTCGTTGGCGCTTTCGAGGATGAGGATTCGGGTCCTGGGAACTTTGGCGCGAGGAGCGGTTGGAGGAGCCGTTCAATTGCGTGCGCGAGCCGACGGCAGCGGTCCGGGAGTCGCCTTCATCGGACGGGGGAGCAGACATGCTGCGCGGGATAGATATCCAGTGGGAAAAGGAGAGTCAAAGGCCCGGGGTCGAAGATAAACCTTAGGGAACCGAAAGCTGAGGAGAATTGGCCGTGCTTCAATTGTGCAACAACGCCGCCGAGCGACAGAGCATGATTGGAAATTTACGGAAGGCGGTAGGGACCAGGTTAACCGTCCTGATTGGGTAGGCAACCCATGTCGCCGCGCCGTCCCATGACTACCTAGTAACTGCAAACAAGCCTGGCAATATTAATACTTAATTATTATATGTATTATTGTTAAGACATATATAATACCTGCTTTCTCAAACCTCTAAAATGACTTGTAGATTAGCTGCAGCCGATCGATGGGCGTCTAGAACAATTCCATCGCCGAGAAACTAATGGATTTGCCCGCGTCTGGATTCCAGCCGACCGTTCGGTTGGTTTGGCTTTATCTATTCTTAGGCGTCTGTTGTTGCTCGGTTTGGTCTGTTTGGCCTGTTTGGCCTGTTTGACCCTCTCCTGGAGCCCCTCGGACTCCGGCGCATCTGTCATCTTCCCACTTTTTTTTTTCTTTTTCTTGACTTCGATATCGGACTTACTTGGTATGGTGTGTTCTTATGCTTTCTATCACACCTGAAATCGTCTAAACCCGTTACCAATACAGTACAGACTTGGTGGTTATTGTCGTCGTTGTTGTTGTTGTTTTGTTGAGCTGTCATCCAGAAAAATAGAATACAGTCGGTAACGGCAATACGACGGCGGTGCTCCCGTGACCAACCACCTTCGCCGATCGTCTTCAGATCTCGCCGTCGCCTCTAATCGACTGTCCGAACATCAGCTTCCCCATCCTGTTAATCTTTCTCTCTCTCTTCCTCTCTCCCTTCCCCCCCTCTCTCTCTCTCACTCTTGTTGTCTTCCTTGATCAAACTTCCTTATCCTCTCTTTTCTCTTCCTTCCATTCCCGACTACTATCAAGTTCACCTCCTTGTCTCCTTTATCTGTGATTCTCTTGCTTCGTACCAAGATTTCCACCTCCTCCTTTTCCGACTCTCCCCTCGTCTCCCCCCGAGAATACCGCCAAAGTGTCTTCCTTACTCGTCCCTCGTGCCATCTCCTTCCCTCCGGAGGTCGACACTGGCCGGCATCGGCTAACTCCGGAATCCAATATGTCTTCAGGCAAGGCTGGGCGGAGGAGACGGTCGAGCAGTATCATCTATCAAGAGCCTCCCGAGTCCATCGAGCGGACCAGCGACCAGGCCGCCCTCCCCAATTTGAATGCGAACTGGGTCAATGCTAAGGGTGAGTTTCGACCCTTGGGGAAAACAAAGAAAGGCGGGGGTGATTGCGGCGGCCAACCCAGCAAATAATCGACGTGGTGGCTGACGGTCGTACGACGACTCTTTAGGTGCCTGGACCATCCATTTCGTCTTGATCGTGGCTCTGAAGATCTTCTACGACATCATTCCCGGAGTCTCGCAAGAAACCTCCTGGACTCTTACCAACATCAGCTACATGTTCGGCTCTTTCATCATGTTTCACTGGGTGCGGGGCATCCCTTTTGAATTCAATGCCGGGGCGTACGACAACCTCAACATGTGGGAGCAGATCGACAACGGCGACCAATATACTCCGACTAAGAAGTTCCTGCTCTGCGTGCCGATCTGCCTCTTTCTCCTCAGCACGCATTACACCCACTACGACCTGACGTATTTCACCATCAACTTCCTTGCCACGTTGGGGGTTGTCATTCCGAAATTGCCCTTCGTAAGTTTGCCCCAGCCTTCTCAGATGGAAGTGTCGCATATTAACCTGGCATGCTTTATAGTCGCACCGTTTGCGAATAGGGCTTTTCTCTGACATTCCCGAGGAGTAGCCGCTCTCTTCTCCGGCCCCTCGAATTTCCTTATTCTAATCCAACTCACATGTTTTCAATTCCCAGACTTGTCCTCCTGCCCTTTCTCATTTCTCCATTCTTGCTAATATTCTCCGCTTGGCGTCTATGTTGTCTTTTGTCATTCACCTTCATGTCCCCCTTTTCATCGAAACAAGCATTACCCCTCTTTGGGATAGTATCTCCGCCCACATCGGGGAAACTCAAAGTGGGGCATCTCATCTTTTCAATCTGTACCGGTGTCTCTTTCAGGGTACCTTCCATGCGCAGTGAAGGGAAAAGGAGGGATAGACTAGGGCTGCCTCGGTTCGGCCCGGGGATTCCCATTCCGAATATGGGATGAAGACAAATCGAATTGTGGTTTCATATATCTGAAGAAGAAAATGGGCGATGGCGTTAAAGGGGGACGGCGGGCGACACTAGATGAAGAACCAAAAATAGGGGATGGAACCGGAGGGGCATAAACCTTCTCTTTCTTTACCCTTGATATTATCCTCACTATCATCATCATCATCACTACACTCTACCTACCACCTATTTATCCTATTCATCATTAGTTCCTGGCGATTTTCGTCGGTGTAATTCTGTCGTGGTGTAGGACCGTCGCATACTTGGTTTCGTGGCTCTTAGGGGATGGCCTTGGATGAGTAAAAAGGGGTCTGCACTCACCTTTCACAGCAACTTACCCTCAGGATTGCGCATGGCTTCTACTTCCAGGGTGCAGGATGATACGTTGAACCTGCCCCTGCAGCACACCACTGTCCGGAGGAGTGCAATGTCCTCAGTGGGGCGTTCTCGTCTATATGGCAGACAACTCAAACTCAGTTGGTACAAGCCGTTGAACTCAGAGTTGACAAACGGGGGACAAACGGGTATCTCGCATCAAAGACGATGTCGCAATCGAAAATTCTACCCAGCTCATAGAGCTGCTATTGTACAGTACAAAGCACTCGCGCACTGCAGTGCCAACATTGATCGATCTGCTACGGCCATGACTTCTTGTGTTCTAGGCACTTGACAAAGAGCTGTTCTTCCAGATGTCATACACAGTTGCAGCATTATAAGTAGAGGTGTGAGCATACTTTGGCGCGTTATTCTGATAAACAAATCCTATACTTCAATCCTGGAGAACCCCAGTCCCTCCGCTTTATCCAGAGAGCGCAAGCTCCTTGTACTCACGCACGCAAAGCAACCCTTCTTTATGAACCATTCCAGTTGACATTAAAGAAGGCTTGCTGCCCAGCGTAATCACCATGGAACGTGCCGGTGCACGCCAGCAAAGCAACGGTATCTGAATTTTATATAAACCTCAACCACCACCACCCTGCCCCATCCTTCTCCTCCAAAGCCAGACCAATACCAATCAACCATCACCCCCCCCCTACCCTACAACCCCCATAGACCCCCAAGTCTAAGCAACCAACTAACCGTCAACACAGAAGAACCCAAGAGCGACCCCGAAGACCCCAAGATAACCCTCTCGGAGAAAATCTCCCTCCTGCTCAGGCGCCCAACCATGAATGGCACCAGCGGAAGAGGATGGACATCACGATCCCGCACGCCGCCATCCCCATCCCAAAACGGGGGTAGCGACGAAGAGAACCTCATCCCGGAGCTCCCCTGGCTCCGCACGCTCCTCAGCAGCCCACAGAAAACCGTCCTAAGACTGACCGTCGACTCACAGACGGCCATCCCGTCCGAGGCGCAGTGGAAGCGCGCCACAGACCACCTCCGCTCGAAGCTCTGGGCGATGCGGCAGAACTACCCGCGCGCGAAGAGGTTCGGTGGCGTTATCTGCTGGAATAAGTGGATGCGCTTGTTCACTGAGGATATGCGTCGGGTCTCTGCTCGTGCGATCACTGGGGATGGGGATGCGGCTGGGGATAAGGTGCCCAGGGAGTATCGGGTTGTGTCGTGGGCTGCTGGGGGCAGGATCACTCATTTTTGGACTGAGGATTTGGTGTTGGTGGATTTTTTGACCGAGATTGAGGATAATCTTGAGGGGGATGGGCATGATGGGCAGAAGATTTGGGGGGTGCCTATGGCTAGTGTTCGGCTTTGATTCTGGGGTTCGGTTCGGTGGGTGAGTGGTTTACTGCTGTCGAACCGCTTGCTTTGGACTATTGTTCTGGGCGATGTTGAAGGATAGTTTGGGAGAGGTGGTGATTGATTTTTATGCTATTTTAAATGGATTATTGGTTATCGATGTCGAATTGTATTGTAGATTGTAAGGTAATGCCTGTTGTAGGTTGTCCTGTTCGTTTCTCTTCTTGTTCTTTGTGAGTAGTTGAGATAGACGTACTAGTAGTTCGTTAAGCTAAGACGCCGTCTTGCTATCTTCTTAGTGCGTTGATATGTCAGAACGATGGAGAGCTTGGCTAGAAGCCTCCCTCGTGGTGGCCTTATACCGAGACTTAGGGAGTATAAACAGTAAACAGTAGCCCTAGTTCTATCAGACTACGGCTCTGCGCGGTCTGTTGTGTACATTATGACCACCATATAAGTCCGGTGACTACTAATAATGCTACACATTTTAGCAATAATATGTCATAGACCGTCGTAATTGAAAAGCAGGTCATACTAAGTGGTCATCCTAAGATCCTCCAGCGGCAACTTCCTTCAACTCAACAGGATTCCGAGCAGACAACGACTAACCCTCTCACTATCCAGACTAAACAAGACCACCATCAAGCCCCCGAAATCTTCCCCACATACACATTGAAGTTATAGTACTTGCTCTGACTCTGCACAGCCATGCCCCCCTGCCCACTCAAAATCGTCTGCCCATTCCGGCTCACCGTGAACGTCTGCGTGCCCACGCCCATCGACACATTCGACGTCACGATCCCAGCCGGCACGTCAATCTTCACCGGTGCATTCGACCCACTGGTCACCGTCAGCGTAGCCGGGCTGGTCAACATAGTCGCGACGAAGATACTGTCGCTAAGCATGTTGATCCCGTTGGGTGGTCCGAGGTTATCCTCCGGGCACGACACACCCTTCGGAGTAGGACGATACCAGTAAACGAGGCTATCCTTATCAACACGGGGCGTGGATGCGCCCGACTTGTAGGCGGCGATGTATGGCTGGTAGAGGTCGCGCCAGGCATCGTGCGGCATGCCTTTGGCCCATTTGGAGGAGCCGTCGTCGCTGTGGTTGGCGGAGTAGGGGCCGATGTAGTGCGATTCACCGTAGTCTACAGGTCAGTGTAGGTATGGTATCTTCACAGGGGCAATGGCCCTGCTGCTAGCTCATCCAAAGTGAGACGAGTGTATGTGCTTACCATTCCACGAGATGATCTCAATCAGACTGGGACGCAGTGTCAACATCTGCTCCCACCGGAGCGTCGGCAGGTTCTCGCAGATAAACACCCAGTTCTTGCTGTTGAAGTGCGTGGCAAACCACGGCGAGACCGCTGGTCCCTCGCTGTGTTAGCAAACTGCGGCACCGGGGCAGATTCAGACAGACTTACGCGCCATGTAGGTAGCCCCTGCTAGGTCTTTGACGTACCGATCATCCCAGATCGTCGTCATCGGGCCCTGAATGATGCTGTTTCCGCCGTCGGTGGGCCACGCGTACCAGGAGAACGCCCCGTCGGCGGATCGAGCGTTGTTGCTGGATACTTCGGCTGGATCCTGGAGGTGTGGGAGGGCATGGATCGCGTGCGAGGTGCCCTGCTTCACCGGCCCCCAGTTGAAGCTGTCACCCACAAAGGTGCTTACCACTGCCCCGCCCTTGTATTGCATCTGCGCTGGATGGTTGGCGTACTGCTGCATGTAAGCTGTTATCTTGGCTGTGTCGCCGTTGGTCCAGTAGGCGAAGTCGAAGGAGATGAAGACTTTGAAGCCGACTTGCTGCGCGGCTTGGTACGCCAGAGCGAGTTGTGTGGGGGTGTATTTGTCGATGCTGGCGCAGTTGAGGGCGAAGGCGTCGATGCCGATGGCTTGGGCGGCTTTCATGTCGGCGATCCAGTCGTCGACTTGGTAGTTCTCGACGATCCCGACCTAAGAACTTAGCATTCATGTGCTATGCGGTGCTGAAGAGTGTAAGTTGCTTTGGCTTACCATGAAGTGAGCGAAGACATATTTGTCGGAGGCCTGAGGTTCGGCATGGTCAACGTCCACAGCTGGGAGACCCCAGACTGGGAGAATGCTGAGCACAACGAGAGCAAATTGAATAATAGTATTCCAGATCATGATTGACGATTATCTTAGCTTAAGGAACTTGGTTATCCTCAATTTCATGGGGACAAAGCCCTGAGTTCAGGGTTTATATGTTGACTCGCCATCCTGCTCACTCTTGTACGATTGAGCAGAAGACAGTTCCCCTCCACCTCCTCTTCATCCCTGAACACACCCATTGTTGATTGACTTAGTAGAGCAATACACTTGTGAGGGCAATATTGTACAAACAGAAGAGCGTGTAACCCTGATATGCACCTCAAAAATAAGGTTATGCTAGATGTTGAACCACGTGAGATGCAGTAAACCATCCGAAACTTTCTTTGCGGGTTGCGGATCCTACAGTAGCACTCGGAGACTTACCCTCCAATAGATCAAGACTTGCAAGCTTCTGACCTGGTCACATTCCTCGTTGCGGCTCGACGATCATAAAAGTGACAGAATTCCTACGATGTCAAGGTACGAGCCGAGCCGCGTTCCGCACAGAAGACTTCCCTGGACATCTAATAGGATTTATATAGAGAAGAAAGCCCGGGCTCATTGCAAAGGGGTGCGCAGCTCGAACGCTGAAACATTCAGTTACAAACGGCACAGCAGATCGCAATTGGCGGTAAATCAAGCTGGAACTCTGTGTTATACCAGTACATCGTTACAATTCAACATGTAGTCTTCACGACATTGCCGTCTTTTATGCAACCCATGTACAACGTCGGTTTGACTGCGTCAGGCGCAGGGCATCAGGCACCTATAGACGAGGATCGCCATTCACTTCAGGCACGCGACTGAGTGTCAGTTGACAATGTAAGACTGGCATGTCGCGGGCTTTCTCGGAATCTCACCATTCAATCATCTCAATCACTATTCCATGTGCTTGGCTATGAGATGCTACGCCGTGTTCTTGGACGTGATGGCTTTTCTTCAGGTCTTGGTCTGCTCGGCGAGGGGACAATGATCACACCTCTGTTTCATGGTTGTATTCACCTCAGACTCCTTGTCCAACTTTCGTATGATGCTAGACTGCTGCATGTCTGGGTGGGAAGTGATATCTGCTGGAAGTTTTCCCCTATGCGTCGATCATGTGAGTTTCACTCACAAAAGTGTTTGTCTCTGAAGTGTCTTGAAAGTGAGGCTTGGCATCAATAAGTGTTGCTGCGATCGAAAATCGTATCTGACAGCAGTGAACAGCAAGGACTCAACGTAATAGTCAAGATGTATGGAAAGGAAAGGGCGTTGCTATAACTGCTGTGGAGAAAGTAATTCTGGTAATTGTGAGACGGTTCTCTCTATGCTCAAACTCTCGATGAGTATAGACTATGACATGTCCAGATACTAAATGCTGGACGCTTCATCATGGAGCTTCTCGTGAGAGGAAGTCATCTTCAGTGAGCTTGAGCCACCATAAGAATGAAATCGATCTTACTATCTCATCTGGTAACCGTTCGAATTGAGGTGTTACTACCAGTTCTACCACGAGCTAGGACCACCTCCTAGTGATCTTCGATCTTAATCTAAGACCAACGCCTAACCATCCTCATACCAACCCTGTTCACACATCCAGTTAGACAAGGCTGGTTTCTTACTTACAATATCAACGCCTTTTGTTGGAGCAGCTGCCATCTAAGCGAAGCGGCCAACCTCCGGAGATCAATTAAGTACTACAGAATCTCAGACCCGGAAGCAACGAGCATTTCAAAGCCCTCTAAGTAAGTCTTTCCTTCCCCAGGCGCCGAGAACCATATATCTCCTACTGGAAACACACTAAAGGTCAATATCTAGCCATGGCACCAACTTCTTTCCCTCTCTTTCCAAAGCTCCCCACCGAACTTCGCTTGATGATCTGGGAGCACGCCCTTCCTGCTCCCATCGAGGAACAACCTCTTTACTTTTATAATCAGACGCGCTGGACTTGTGGTGTCTGCGAGCACGACATCATCACCGACGAAAAACGATATGTTAATTTCCAGCACGGCCAAGTGGCCCCTCTCCAGATCAATATTCCGCTCTACTTCGTCAATCGTGAGGCTCACAAAATCGCTTTATCATGGGGAGTCCAGCAAGGCCTCGATCTTTGGCCATGCCAGAGTCAAGAACGGACTACCACTTTCGCCCGCCTCTTCAACCCGGAAACAGACATACTCTATGTAGCAGCAAGATACTGGAGTGAGTTCTGGTACGAGGATTTGAAGACAATTCGGAGGTTACCTCAGCTGCTCCACAAGCCCGTCATACATCCACCCTTGAAGTATCTTGCATTGTCCGCAAAGATACTTCGGGAGAGACCGCAGCATTTTGGGTATATGCTTGCACGGTATCGGAATCTGCAGAAGGTGTTTATAGTCGCTTACAAGCAGATTATTGATGAAATACACTTTGGAATCGACACTTTGAAAGGGCAGGGGGGCTGGAGGCTTGAATATCCTACCGAACTTACGGAGGGATCGTGGGACCCTGCAAGTCGCAGTTTTCAATGGAGAGGTCGCAATAGTGATGGCCCTGACAGCAAGATGCTGCGGGAGCTGATGGATCACATTCAGCAGGAATTGGTGAGTTTTTTGAGGATATGGCGACTTCAGAACTTCAGACCCTTCAAGGTACAACTTGTTTTTGCTGTCAGAGTATGAGAGGCGGAGTCCAAGTCGGGATTATAAACAAGCAGGATGTTAACTAATTGAGTAGCTCAGAAGTAGAAAGAGTGCAATTGGGGTTGCTTGCTCCAATATATCTAGATCTTGTGATGCTGCTCTTGTATCATCAAGCTGCAACCTCTTTCACAACAACAGGTGCTGTGGTCTAGTGGTATGACGTCACGTTGTGGCCGTGCCAGCCCCGGTTCGATTCCGGGCAGCGCCACTTTCTTTTTCTGTTTTGTTTCCAGACGCTGCTAGTGGCGGCTTAGTTCTTCTTTTGCTAAATGCATCTTGGGGCGTATCAAGATCACTGACTTAGGCTACCATAATCAGATTGTAACAGGGATTCCCTTTCAATTTGTCTTATGACTTAGTAAAGCAGTCTCTCATTGTTCTGATGCCTGATACATGACAAATGAGGCAGGCGGTGAGCCGGACGTGTTGCGACACGCTCCCTGCGGCTATCGATAAGCGTCGTGTTTCTTTGAAGACTATCAGCCATTATCGGCGCGATTCTTTCTCCCCGCGCATCGCATCTCTTCCTCCTCTTTTACCCTCACACCATCGTCTCAAATAATCCTAATGGCTATTCCAGATGGTACAGAGGCAGCTTCGCCTCTCTATCGTCCTGTCAAACCACTACCCTTCGAGCTGGTTGAGCACTCCGGCATTTTCCTCGAAGAGAAGCTATGTATGTTTTCTTCTGACAATACCCACTCCTTTGTCCGCAACTGCTGAGATCTGTCGTCAGATACACAAGCCCTCAACTTCCTATTAGAAATTCTTACCGCTGGCACTATCGCCTCTACCCCAGCCTTTGTTCCGCCTCCTCAGCACTTACATGTTGCCGCGACCATCCTTATCCACCCCTCGACGACCACCCGCGCAAAGACAGCCGAGGAGGAAGAAGCCCCTAATGCTGCCCTCCGTCTCCTCCGCCTAACAAACGCTCTCGCTGGGCCCAAGGCTGCCAATTTTGGGCTCGCATTCTCCTTCACCCACTTCGAGACATCCCGCCATGGCCGGCGACGTCGCGGTGCAGACGACGCTCCTGCCTCCCCCAACACAGTCACAGAAGAGACAATGACGCCGCTGAATCTCGACCTGGGTAAGACACAATCTATATGGTCCCGTGCGGAGGACTTTTGGCACGCTGTAGGCTGGGCATTCAATTGCTCTGTCCTACATCACGAGCGATGGGAACATTGGCGGATTTGGCTCGAATTCATGTGCGAGGTGCTCGAAAGTGACTGGAACGAGCGCCGTAGGCAGTGGACAGAGATCAAGGAATCTAGCACGAGTACCAGTGATGTCGACGTCAGAAAACGCAGTACCAAACCCAAGAAAAATGATACGGCCGATCAGATACTCAAGGACAGTCTCATCTGCCGCTACATCGAGGGCGGCAGCGCCGTCTACGGCCGTAATCGCCGAATTGTGAGGTCCATCTTTGCCGATGGGGGAATCACCTGCTCCAATGAGTTCCGCGAAGTCTTCGAGAACGAGCTCAAGAAAGGCAAAAAGCACAGTGCCAATAGTAAGAAGCGCGGGATGCAGGTCAACATTGACGCAGAGCAATACGGGGACTATCTGACCGACGATGAGGACGACGAGGATAGTATCGATGTCGAAGATTCCACCACGACAAACGATAACGACGTTGACATCTTGCCACGAACTCCGCAAACACGCGGTCGCGGTCGTGGTCGTGGCCGCGGCGGCACAGGGACTCCGCGAGGTGGTGGTGTTGCCCTCCGGCAGTCAAAGCGACCCCGACGAGGCACTCGTCCCCAAGGCACTCACTCAGAGCCTACCATCTTCACCACCCCAGCGAACCTCATGACACCTGCCAACTACGGTACACCAACTGGGACGTTCAAATACTCCGATCCCACCTCTCAACGCTATGGACCAGATAACCAAATCCCTCCGGAGCACTTAGCCACCATGCACGCCGACCCCTGCACCCTCGGCGGCATGCGCTCCCTCACCCTCCGCCAGCGCCTCCTCCACCTTCTCTCGACTGTCTCAGAGACCATCCCAGAACACTTCACCTCCCTTGAAGAGCTGTACCACCTCTTCGCCGAGAACATCCGTCACCTCCCGCTCCCCTCCTACCAAGCCTTCATCAGCCCCACCGCCCTCCCGCACTTCACCCCAGCGGCTCTGACCACCCTCTGCGAGTACCTGCTATTCCGCATGCGCGAGTCCGCCGCCCCCGACACAGACGACGAATACCTCAGCCAAGCCAAGCTGGAACACTGCTTCCTGCCCTACGCCGCCAACACGAACTCCTCGGCCGACAACGCCAAAATCTCAATCACGCTGGAGACACTAATCATCCTCCTCGCCGACAACGACATGCTAACCGTGACGCCGACGCTGAAAGAGGCCGTCGGGACGGGGATCATGGCCCGCGAGGGACGCCCGACCCATGACGGGCGCAAAAAGAGGGAGGCTGACCGGCACGCAGGCGACATCGAGTGGGCGTGGCTGCTGGAGAGCGGGCGGAGATTGTGGTTGCTGGTCGACGAGATCATCCCGCTCACGCAGGGGAATGAGGAGCATGGCATGACGGTAGCTTCGATTTGAACTGGGCATTTATTGCCACTATGTTGGAGTTAGCGGTTCCTGCTGCGATTTTGGGGGGAAGCAAGGTGTTTTGTTGTCTGTCTGTTATTCTGCGTATAGGTCCGGTCATTTTCTTTTCTCATGTTGTTTCATTGTTGCTTTTATATTTCGGACGTATTTTTTGTGAACGCTCTTCTCATACCTAGCCAAATAGATACCCTACCTACTGTCACAAGTCATATTCGAAACTAAGTTCATGCATCCATTATGGGTTTCAAGATTGCCTAAGATCTGGTATTTACATTCGAGTCCGAGTTCACTAAGCTAGGGTTTCCCAACCGGATCCATCCGCAACCGCCAGCGCACACAAAACTGCATATGAATTTCAAGTTACTATGCTCACAGCGAGAAAGAAATAAAATCGTACAAAACGGGTATACAGGACAAAACCTCTTCCATCCCCTTACTCAAAAACAAAAACCTCCAGATTCCGATATTACTATGAACCGAACTACATTTCCAGATCAAATTCTCCAACAGCAAAGAAACGAGTCCAGTCTCTGAAGCTCTCTTAGAAAAGAGATAGGCCGGAAGGTCAAGTTTCACTGGGAGGGTCTGTGCCCGATAATCTGGCGTCTCGCGCCGCCGACACCCAGCCCGGGACCGCCTCGGTTCTGATTGTCGCCGCCCATGTAGCCATACTGGTGCACGTCCCAGGCGCCCTGGCCGGGTCCCGTGCCCAGCGAGCCATCGCGCAGGCCCCTGGCGGCGGCTTCTTGCGTCTGCTTCTGGCTCTCCTCCCACTCGCGCTGGCGTTCGCGCTCGCGCTCCATCTCGCGCTCCAGCAGGGACTTGGAGGCCCAGCCGCCGGCTTTGGTCTTCTGCTGCGCCGCGAGGCGGCGGCTATTCTCGGCGTCGACTTCTGCGGTGGTGGTGAAGTCGCTGGGGCGGTGGGTGGTGGGTTTAGGGGAGGTCGGGGGTTTGTTGAATGACAGGAATCGGTCGACGCGGCTTTCTGAGGGCACGGGTTTGCGGGTTGGGGATTGAGGGGGGGTAGCCTTTGTGGTGGTGTTGGCGGTGGCGTAGGCTGCTGGGTCCGGAAGGGGGCGCGGAGGAGGAGCGGGTTTGGATTCGGTGGGTTCGGGGAGAGGGCGGCGCGGTAGGGATGGAGGAGGGGGGCTGGAGGGACTCTCGGCGATTGGAGTGGGTGCGTCATCCTGCTGGTGCTTCTGCCACTCGCCGCGGAGGAGTTTGCGTTCTTGCTCTAATGACGAGAGGTCGTAGCTGGGCTTGGGAGGCACAGGCACGGGCCGCGGGCTCCGGGCTGTTTCGGGGGACGGCGACGCCGTTGCGCGGGCTTCCTGCCGTTCGCGTTCGTACTGGCGCTCGCGCTCCTTGGCCCGCTCCAGATCATGCTCCATCTGTCGGATGCGCTGTCGCTCCTGCGACTCGGACGTCGCGGCGGGCTTGCCGGACCCGGCCATGCTCGCTTGGTACTGACTGAGGAACTGTCCGTTGAGACGGCTATCCTGCGCTTCGCGACGCTGGAGTCGCTCCTTCTCCAGCCGTTCCTCCGTCTCCCGCTCCTCCTGCTGACGCTTGTGCTCCTCTTCTTGCCATTGGCGCTGTTGCTGGTCCCAGCGCCTTCGTTCCTCTTCCACCTGCAGTCGCTCCTGCTCTCGCGTGCGTGCCGTTTCTTCCTCCCAGCGGCGTTTTTCTTCAAGTCGGGCTTGCTCCTCATCCGCCTCCTGTTGTTGTTGGCGCCGGCGCTGCTCCTCCTGTTCCTGCAGCCGTCTTCTCTCTTCCTCTTCGCGCCGGCGTTTCTCCTTCTCCGCTAGACTGGGGACATGGGGGGACGCGGTGGTGATCTGTCGCCGCGCACCGAATGCGACACCCTGGTTTCCCTGACTGGCTCCACCCATGTAGCCATATTGGTGGATGTTCCAAGCGGGGGCCGTGGTATGCTCGTCCGACTTTTTGCTCCAGGTGCTTACAGACTGCGGTGACCTCGCCGGACTCGTGTGGCTCGAGCTGCTATCTCCGAATCCGCGCGACTTGGTGGGTGTATAAGCTCCGCCCTGACTGGACCCCGTCACATGCGGGCTGAGGGAGCTGCCCTTGGACTGCGGGCCAATGGCGTAGGGGAATTTGCTGGGCTGGAGAGCGTTGGCCCGTCGGCTGAACGAGGTGAGACATTGAAGCACTTGGGCGGGGTCCTTGGCCTCGTAGAGATCGACGGTCAGGAAGACGTCATGCGGGGGAAGGCTGAGGGGTGGCATTTGACATGCGCGCAGAAAGTGGGAGATGTTCTCCATCTGCACGAAGGGCATGGATGACTGCTTGTATTTGACGCCCGGGGATACGGCGAGGTTGACGAGTCTGTGAGTGGCTGCGTTTAGTTTGCGATCCCTGGAAAGGATTTCTCCAGAGGGACACTCCAGATCTTACCTGCAAAGAGCAACTCCATCTTTTAAGGCATCTAGAAGATCGCCTGCGGGGAGTTTTTCATGGAGCACTTCTTCAATCCAGCTGCGGATTTCCGCGGCTGCTTGCGGGGTATAGCGGGACAAGCGCAAATTGCGCAGGTCCTTGTCCAAGGATGTGACGGAAGCCATTGTACCACACTCAGCCGTGTTTGTTCACAGAGTCTGAAGCATGTAGAAGGATTCCAGAAGCACCGAAGATGCGAGTTGGCGCTGAAATAGGGGGTGGAAAGGGGGGGCAGTGTAGGGCTTCTGTTTATATAGTGCCTAACTGCAGTGGGACGAACCGCGGTACGTCACAGGGGTGGCTTAGGAGAGAAGACTGGCGGATCGAACGGATGCGAGCTTGGAATGGAATGTGAAGGGATCAGCACAGAATGGCTTGCTAGAAGAGAAAGATAAGCGAGTCCGATCGAGAGAGAACACACTCCTGATCATGCAGAGGAGAAGGACAGGAGAGTCGAAGTAGAGTCGAGTCGAGGGCGCACACATGGAGAAAACGAGGGCAACAGGCGGAATGCGGGAATCTGGGCCTCGTAATACGCAGCCAATACGACCTTTCGTATCTCTCGTACCGGCCGGTATGCGCCGATGACGTCCGGCCGCAATTTATTGTTTCTTCCAGTAATTATTCCCATCAAATAACTCCGTTCTGAGTGGATGAGTGACTGCCTCTCATCACACAGACGCTCCGGTTGCTGCCTGACACTTTTTCTCCCAATTATTTCACAGATCTATCGGGTAAATGAGTCCAATTAATAGTCTCTGGTTCAAATGGAAGAGCCTGAAGTTGCCGTGGCGCACTTCCTACCTTGTCGGTATGTCCGCTCTGTCGAACCGCTTCGCAGCAAGACCCGAGCTGACATTGCGACGCACATGACAGGCCACGATCTCAAAGGCAACACATATTGGGAATTTAAAGATGCTTTGAACGCCAACCGATATCGTCGCATCGTCAAATGCGATCCGAAGACCCACCTTTCCGATGTCGAAGTTAGCCGTGAGTGATGCCCCCGGGCTGCGACCACGCTTGCAGCCCGAAGTTCGACCTCAAGTCATTCTCCTTAGCCAAGTTCTTTCGAGACTGACAAGGCCTTCACTCTAGCACAATGGCACCAGTGGCTCCGATACGTTCGAGCAGACCCTCCATCGATCCAGGAACAGCAGCAGGACATCCTTCGACAGATTCAAATCAAGGAATTGGCTCGTCTTGCTGATGAGCGTTGGGCAAGCAAGCCCTCTTATCTTGACAAGCCACAGACTCAGCAGCCTGCCCCGGCTACTCAGACCAGCGACGCGACGATGAATCCTCCCAAGATTGAGAAACAGACAAGCAAGGCTGATCCTCCTGCCCCTCAAAACGAAAAGAAGGAAAAGCGGACTGCAAAGCACGACCCTTGGGCAAAGGCGGCCAGTGGTCCAGGTGAGAACTGGCAGCCGGATTCATGGAATCCGACGTCCTCTCAGAGATGAGTTGAGTCTCGCTGCTTGGAGCTTGGTCTTTTATCAATTTGGTCTTCGATGGCAAATCTACTTCCGTCCAAGGGGCGACTCATGCCACGAGAACAAGCGTCTCTCCCCCCAAGGCTGCCCGTAGTCTCAACGCCCGTCTTGATGTCTACCAGTCCATTTACTGCACTCTCTAACCTTACTTCGGAGGCAATCATAGGTTGCTCATCGTTCCTTGCCTGAGAAGAGAGTCGATGCAACCTATCTTCTTGTACAATCGGTTGAATCTTCAAGACGGGGCTACTCTTTGGTGCAGGAGCTTCTGAGCGCACCCATGTCAGCTTCGAGCGACATTGCGTATCACCCATTTTAAGAGTGTATTATAGCTATGTATCAGGCGATCTTAAACGAGAATCATACCACCCCTCACAACGTTAGTTGGGCAGTTACAGTCATGTTTTCCATGAAAGATGGAAACCTGAGATAGAGTAAAGAAAATGCTCGTTGTTCTCAAAATATATACCATAGTTCAAGTCACCCAAAATCTTACCCTCGACCTTTCACATTATAACTTAAATCCTAACGAAATGGAGACACGGACTTCCAATGCTTTCAGGACATCTTCCAGAATCCAGATCAACATTTTTCGGTATGTGAATCATGTTACTGTACAACAGAGCAATCCCTCATGTGCATGTGTCAATAGATTAAGTGCACTGACTGCGGAACGGGATTGAGATACTCCGAGCTGACTCAGGATGACGACAATCCGGGAAAAGACGCGAGTGCGATTCTCGCGCGCTAAGCCATTCCGGGAATTTCCGACGCCGGGCCGACGCCAATGCCGGAAGGGGAGGCAATAAGCCCAAGTCAGGTGCCCGGTGATGACGGAAATCTGACAGTTGAGGTTCGCCTTGTTTCTAATCTCTCTTCTCTTCACAAGCACTATTGTCCCGTGCTATTCTCATCTTTTCCAGACACTTCTCGACGTGAAGTCAGGTCGAGATTCTTATGCTCTTTTAAGCGCCTGTCTACGAGAACTGCCGACGGGTTCTGCTCATCAGCTACCCCTCGCCCCCTGCCCCCGCTTCAACATTGCCAACGACTCCCCACGGAAAGTGGGCATGACCTTATAGTGCCTGCGCGTCGTTCATCGGTTCCTGCCCCTCATTGAGAATTGAACTACTCCCTTGGCTCTTTATCCACAGTCAAGAACCCCATCGCACGTCCCCAAAACTGAGGAGCACGTTCAAACACTACGCGTCGTAGTATTTGATTGCCGTCAGATACTGCACTCTTGACTCGGTCGCCCTACAAAAAGTGGTCCACAGCCTATATGTATCGCTCGAAATCCTCCATCAAAAACAGCCGCATTTTGAAGGAAGAAGGACTAAAACGTTGTCATTTGACTGCTTACGCCGGGAACGACCACTTGTGCATGTGCCACAACCTCTATCAACATTGAAACTGAAGCGAACTCATACAAAACAAATATGTCTATCAACGTTATTCTTGTCCAGGGCCTCTTCGGCTCTCACTAGGTGATCTATTCACCCAGTTTTTTTTGCTTCACGATGGACTCCTTTAAAACCATTGAGGGCCTTGGAAGCCACGGTTTGAACGCGAAAAAAAGTTTCTTTGTTCACGTCCTATAAAGCACCTTCTTTGTTCCCAGTCGCCAGTCGCCAGGACAGGTACGGGTGGGATTTAAACTCTTTCGGTTTACATCTCAGTTCATTGTCCCAGCCGGGGCCAGTTCTTTGAGCTTCGGCGCAGATCTCCGGGACAAGCCAGCATCGGGACATTTGCAATATCGCCATGAGCAGTCAAAACATGAACAAGAAGTCATGGGAGTCTCTTTCATCGACATTTTCCCAGTTGGAGATATCAATCTCCCATGACAGTTGCTATGCATCTGATGAATACTCTGCCCCTATAACTACTACAACTGCTCCCAATCCTTTTGGTGCTCCAGCTCTTGTGCCCGCGATAACGGCGCCTCTTCAGTCGATCTTGAAACCCATTCTGAAAAGGCCATATTCAGAAATCGAGGAAGCCGAAGAGTCTGAGTCTGGCTATGCATCTGAAGAATCTGATTACGACTATGACGATAATTTTGATGAGTCGGATGATGATATGTCTGAAGTTTCAGAGTGGGATGAAATTTCTGACACAATGTCCCAATCAGATGTAGAAGATGACGACGCCGCGTCTTTGGACGGCTCGCTCATCATTGAGTTCGGAGCTCATGTACAGTTCGATGCGAACATCCGCTATATCGAAGCGCCAGAGCTTGAAGAAGATGAAAGTCCCGAGGCCGGGCTAACCTGCCATGAATTGATGGAGTTGGCACGAGCATCAGGTACCCTACGACTGCAAGAGGGCACAGGTCCTGGAGACCACCCTGATGACTACGAGGGGGACGATAGCCTCATCCTGGAAACCTTGAAGCAGCTCCCGGAAGAGCACCCTGATGATGCTGTTGACCTGGACAAGAGCCTCTTCGTTGCTTACATGAACGGCATTAATGGGCTAAATGATCCTGGGTACAGATCCCGCCTTCGCTGTCGGGCTGACGACATTAAGTCGGGTCGTGCGCAAACACCCTACTTGGATGAAGACGGCACCACTGGTGCATATATCGATAACGCGCTCAACCACGTTATCGGGCTCTTCCGCAATATCGTCGCCCAAGAGGAATTCAACGAGCTTGTTGATCTCAGCCACGTCAAGGGCACTTCAACAGGGCCCGGTGAAAGCGTCATCAACCAGAAGCTCCTTACCAAGCTTGAGAATATCCTCTCAGAGAGACTGGCCTCTGATGCCGTCAACATTGGTCCTGACGAGTTGAGTTTCTTCGCCAGTGGTGTTGCCTACGCTCTTGACCACTGGAATTGCTACATGACGGGATGAACACTAAACGGTATCTACGAAGCTTACGAAGAAGAGAAAAATATACCCAGAAAAGCACAAAAAAAAAAAAAAAAGAGGAAGGCCGAGTGCCCAAAGAAGCCCAAGAGGCGCCAAAAATCGTTATTTTTTCGTTGGCCATGCCTACAAAATAAAAGCATCCTTTGCAAAAGCTTACGAGCGGGGATAATTAGCATCGTCCATGTACGAGTTATGCAATATGAATCCAAATTTTCACATCCATTTAGTGTGCTTGCTTTCGTAGATGAGTATCGTCGCTTACCTTGCTCTGCCTTCCCTAATACATGTATGAACCCGACCCATCAACCCCAGCTATCGCGACTATAATCCGAAACAAATATACCCTCCGAGAAGGGCCGATCCTCATAGGAATGCCAAGCATAAGGCCACCCCCCCCCCCCCTGCCATTCAGGGATCCTGAAACACAAGAAAATATGAGTATGCCCGGTTATATCCCTCCCCCCTCTCCGTGCTAAATACCTAAGTAGATTATAATACCTCATTGTAATATGCAGTTTGCCTGCAGCCTCGCAAGCCAACCGTCTCCCACCCTTCTATCAAACTGAAACACCTGAAGTAAGAGAAGCCATTGGATTCGATGTCTAGAATGGCAGGCTAGACCGGGTCGATCACTACTTGATCGGCGGTCAATTTCTTCACATCGATCATTCTACGAGTAATCCAAGTCATCAATTGGCTATGTTACACGGAGGAAGCTCATTTACTATAGGCTCGGGACGGTAGTCTGGACGGGTTCGAAGGCTCGGAAGGCAGCGGGAAGATGGAGTACGCAGCTCTGGATGTACAGTACATCATGAATTGGTTGATTTATGGTGGTTTAGCTGTTGTTTCGGGGATGCGTTGGTGCATCGGACAGGTTTGATGTCGTGGTACGTAGAGACGGCTGTGTCTGTTATGTATGTGTGTCTGTATGTATGTGTGTATGTTTGAGAGGAGTGCGTTGGGGGGCTGTGCTGAGAACGAGTGCGAAGCTAGGTATCTGTGTTCTCTGTCTGTACTGTAGAGGAGAGGTCATGTGCTGATGTCAGATTCGTGGTTAGCTTTGGGGGTAGGTTTGGTCTGTGTACAGTAGACTACATGTCGATCGACCTGGCCTTGCTATGGAGCTGAGGTACGAATAGAAGGCTGGGATATTTGGTATGAGTATGACGTTGAATTGCAGTAGTGCCTCATCGATTTCATAGCTGTAGTTTCTTGGAATGTAGTAGCGAGATGAAGCCCTTGATCCAGCCAAACCATATCATACGACCTGAAACTTCGACAAGACATCCCTGCAACGCTAACTACATGAGTACAGTAGACTAGCCCATGGAACGAATTACACCTACATGCATATATGCATGTTGAGGTAAAGCTCGATGAATCACAATCCCGTCCGCTTGCCCCAGGCACTAATGCGCGTCTCGCTTAGTCCCCTTTCCCTTTCCCGAATCATGACGTTTGGGCTGTGCTGTTTCGTTGGTGGGTCGATTGTGTATGCAAGTATACTGTACTACCTAAGTAATAGGATTGTTGGGGGCTGAGGCTTATTGCTTATTCCTGACGGGTTCTAGTTGGCTTGGCGTGTTGGTTTGAGGTCGGTTTACTATGCAGCTATGGTTGGTTGGATTGGGGTTGGGTTACAAGCATAGGCTGCATGATCGGGGCCGGTTGAGGGGCTTGGTTTGAACCTGTGTTTTTAGTTCGTGTGTCGGTGTCAGTGTCAGTGTCAGCGTCAGCGTCAGCGTCAGTTTTATTGCTTTCTCCGGATATGCCGCGATGCCCTGTGCATTGAGGATTGTTTGGGGTCGCAGGTAGATAGGTCAATGCACAGGGAAGGGAGGGGTTTAATAGTCGGAATGGAAATAAGGTGTCTTGGCGGTTTCAGCTGAGGATCTATCGTTGTCGGGGGGAGGGGGTTACTTGATGGTTTGTGTTACATGTTCGGGTCTGTGGCGATGTTGGAGGGGTTTTTGCTTTGGATCTATGGAGTGAGCTATTTAGTATAAGCAGTAATCCAAATCCTGAGGTGGGTAGTGCAAGGGACTAGGTGTGGATGGCGGATATAGCAGCCGCTTCTTTTGGGGCATATATGCGGCTTTGAGAGGTAGGTCAGTCTTAGACATCTGGGTAAATCGGTATTTGGAAATAGTGAACCATCTTGGAAGAGTGATTAGCAGCACCGATTACTAGGGGCGACGTGTTAGTGATCTATTGTGCAGTAAGGCGGACAACACATACGTGGGCTGAGATCTCAAAAATCAGTCAGCCTCTGGAGCGGGGCAGGATCACCTCATTTGCCGACAAATCTACGAACAAGCCTCTGGCATGATGCAAAGCTATACAGTATACGGAGTGGAATGACTCATGGGCTTGTGATGCCAAAGGTATGCTATCATTATATCGTGGTGTGGTGTTGTGTTGGTGCATTTTCTACCACGCCGAGTTATTCAGTACCCTCAGCGGCTGATATTAGGTTAAACTATCTCAGCCACGAGGAAACCGCGGGCCTACGGCAGTGCTGAATATAGCAACACCCAAGCAGACCGATAACACCAGCCTAAAATCCTCCCAGCTCTCGCTCGAGAGATCAATTGTGCCCTCCTCCACCCGCCATGGGCAGGCTGGTGGATTGTTGATGCCCACCAGTGTATATTAAATCGGTGTTTGGAACCCAATCATAGGCCGCCATCGACGAGCTGTACCCGATTAACTATCCGCTGGCTTACCCGGAAAGGGTTACTGTGCATCAAACGGAATGGATCGCAGCCATCGGGACCACAGGTATGGATTATGGAAGCACGACATGGTCAACCCGCTGAAGAAGGACGGGAAACGGTTTCCCTTGATTGGGCCCCTAGTTGCCAGTTTCGCCGCTCCACTGGTGCAGAAGAGCAGGGATTCATGGGGTTAGTACTTTAGTTAGTCTCTTTCGACTTACTCACAAACCAAGAGCGTGAGCATGATCAGTGACTCGTAAACCAAAGGCGGAGACGGGCGCAATAGAATTTGAAATCGCCGCCCTAGTCCCGAGGCCGTGTGTGAGAGGGTGTATGCACGGCAAGAGATGGGGGAAAGAGTATGCGAAAGTCAAAAGCAGGGAATCCCTGACTCGTGAGTGTAGGAAAGACCGTAGCAGAAGGCTAGACAAGGAAAGTGCTGTTAGGAGTTGAGCCCGATAGAGGCATAGGCCATAGGTAGATCTGATAGACGTCGTGGATTTGTCAAGGCGTCCCCTCCTCACTCTTTTTTTTTTCTTTAACTGTTAGCCCCATGGGCCATAGCAGAAATCCTGTAGTGTATGGGGTAATGGAGACATCCAGGCGGACCAGAGAGGCATGTCCCAGGATCATCATCAGTGCACCCACCAGTGATCTCCCTTGTCAGCTTGGCGATCACCGTTCGACTGCGCGTCCCTCCCCTTCCCCGGGGGTAATTGGGGTAGATGGGTTGCGCAGACAACATAGGCGAAAAAGGAGTTGTTCTCGAGTCGAATATGCCACCCGGTTCTCTATGCAGAACATGTCGGTATAATTATCCTATGTCTCTTAGATATTGAGACAGCTACAGTGATGGTGGTGGCTTGATTGGTCATGCCCGCCACAGACCAGGGCCATGATTGGGGGATACAACCGTAATAGTTGCAATCAGAGTTTAGGTTGAATTGCCAGCTGGGCTTGAGACCGAGTTCGGGAAGGTGAGAGCCGAAACTTGAAGCGGGATCACGGACGGATGGTGTGTTTGAATTAATTATTTGATTTTCTCGGTTATATCCGGTACCGTTACTTCTGCTATAAGAATGGAGGTACTAAGCCTGTGGTTACCAAACAAGCATCAACCATGCAATTCTTTGGTGGTGATGGTGGTGGTGGTGGTGGCCGAAGAATTAATCATCAAATCAAAGATAAAAAGGCGTACGGAAAAAGAAATGAGACACGGCTCGCTACGAGAGGCGAGAGAGAAAGAGAGAGAGAAAGAGAGGCTTACAGTGGCGCCCCCTAAACCCTTCCGCCTCTCCTCGTGCCCCTGCAGTCGGGACGATATCCTTAGTTAGAGAATCCTTAGAATCCTTAGTCTCCTTAAGTCTCCTGAGGGTTCCCTTTTTCCCATCTTTTCCCTGCCTGCCTGGTGGGGCCAATTCACTAGTTCGGGTCTGGAGATCGTCGGTTTTCTTGGGGCTTCGGTGCCTTTTCTTATTTGCTTCTAGTCGCAATCGACCACTCCTGGACGTTGGCTCATGGAAACCACCGAATGGAGGGAATAGGGTTTCTCTTTCTCGTGCTCACTGCTCACTGCTCACAGAGTCATGAGCAATGGACATCCCAACCGTGATCCCGGATGATGCTCGGTAAACCCAGGCGGTGGCTGTTTATCAAAATTCGAATTTGGAACCGTGGAATACTGTCCACGGTTGCTGGCCGCTTATCGGGCGAACTAGTTGCAGCCCTCAGCTTGGTCCATGGATTGACTCCCCGAAACCGACATCTGAGGCCAAGGTGTTCCTGACCCGACAAGGTCTCAAGTCGGTGGCGACACCGAAGCCAATGTTGATCGCACCAGAGCCCTCGTGCTTGATGCATTCCGACTCGTGGGGGGAAAAGCAAAGAGATGCACTACTTTGAAACTCTAACTAGCCAACATGCAACTAGTACTGCATAAACTGCTTTTTTCAGTGACCCATGCGGTTCATAGAGCGGATACACTTGAACGGTGTGAAATTGGTGAACATACATACACGGCACTCTCTCTTTCTCCCTCTCTCCCTTTTCCCGTCCGTGGTTTTGCTGTTGCTGATGGTGGTACTACTGAATTTGGTGTGCAGCAGCCAAAGCGTCCCCAGTCCCCACATTCACCACGATGTTCATTTGCTTTTCTTGACAAAAGCTGACCCTCCCGGTGGAATTGAAGCGGATGAGCTCCACCTCTCCTGGTTTTGCTAGTCGCTTTTTCGGGTTGCCTTTTGCCTGTGTCTGTCTGTAAATTGTAAGAATCCCTCGGATCTTAATTTACTGAGACGGTGTAGAATCCAACCAGTCAGTCAATCAGTCAGTCTTCTACCTACTGCTATGTACATACACTACTGATGGACTGACTGAACTGTTACTCCTGAACTTTCACCATCTCCCATAAGGTCCTTGCACTCAATTAACCTCTCTCACACACACTCTCTCTTCCTCCTCAGTCTACTACCTTTTCTTTCCTTATACACTTTCTTCCTCTACCTTCTGGTTTCCTCTCCCTCTTTTACTTCTCCCTTCATCATCTTTACCCTTTTACTTCTTCAATCGCTTCTCTCCAATCATCCCATCCGCTCAACCACCTTCTCCTTAATCCTACCTGATCCCCCTTTTCCAATCTAGCTCGACCTAGATCTTCATTGACTGTTCGGATTTCCCGCCCTCTATCTATCCTCAAATTTTGCGACATGAACTCTACATCCTACTAGACGGTTCGTTACATCGGTATGTCCTAGCCTCGTTACCATCCTGCGACTGCATGCGCCTCCCCCGCTGGTACGTCCAGCTTTGTCTTTTCTTTTCTTTTCTTTGCTTTTTTTGTTTCTTCGACCCAACCTTCCTTTGTTCTTCAGTCCTCGATAATTGCTTTTCCCGTACGCTTGGTGGCTTGACGCAATCTTACGACATCCACCGTTAAGGCAGGCTGGAAAAAGAACAAATCAAGTCGCAAGGCCCCCAAAATGGGCTGTGCAACTCATTTCTTATTTTCCAAAGGCTGACCAATGGTCTCTGCATCGTTTCAGGATACTCGAGTGACTTTCATCTGCTCTGAAGTCACGCTGCACATTCCCGATTTTATCTCACCCCGCCCCGCGTTCTTTGTTCTCGACTACAATACATCTAGACCGATTATCACTCTTCTGCGACTGTATGTGATCCCCGCATCACGACCATGCAGCACAGCAAAGGACCCGATTCTCCGGAGATGGGGAGGACGGTCTCGCGCTCGCGCAGCACCAGCATTTCCAGTGACTCCCAACTCCCCCGAGCCCACCTGCTCGTCCCGACAGTAGTTACACCAGCGCCCACTTTCATCGCCTCGTCCGCAGCAGCCCAAATCATCACCTCGGATCAGGAGTTCAACGCTGCCGACTTTGTCGCCGATGAGGATGGACCTGGCTCTAATGCAAGTGCACTCGTGACCCGCGAGGCTCTGTCAACCCTCAACGGATTCCTCGACTACCTTCTATTCAACATTCTGGCTGCAGCGAAATCTACGCAATTGGCCTGCATTCGCCCAGCGGTGTCGGAGGTCCTGAAGCCCCGTCTCGCCAAGGAAGTGGTCGAGGCAGCGGATGATGAGTTGAGTGAGTTCATGGGTGGCCCGGACGACGAGCAGCTTGAGTTCCGTGGCGGTCAGACGCCTGGCGGTGAATTTGAGCTCATTCGTTCATGGAAACTTACCCGCCTGCGATGCATGGTGTACACGCGACTCGGCGATATGGAAGAAGACGAGGAGGAAGAACATATCGCACGGGAAGGTCTAGCCGACGAAGACGGTGTTCCGCGAAGACTGGCCAGCCATGTCGGAAATATCACCCCTGCTGCAGCTATTTTCTTGACTTCGATCATCGAGCACTTAGGCGAGCAAGCATTAATCATTGCGGGCGAGACGGCTCGATCGCGACTGTCGACAAAACTCGAGCTCGATTCTGATGAGTCGATGGAAACCGGTGCCAATCGAGCGAGTATGGATCGATTGGTCGTGGAGGACCATGACATGGAGAAGTTGGCGTTGAACCCGACTTTGGGCCGACTTTGGCGAACATGGCGCAAACGTGTGCGAGGGTCCACTCTGTCCCGGGCAGTCTCGAGAGAATCAATGCGTCGCCGCCATAGCGTATTCACCACCACAGGCAGTAGGAAAAGCAGCGTTTTTAGCGCGGATGTATTCTCTGTTCGTTCGGCACCCTCGCCACTTCCCGAGACACCGAAAGATATCGACCCAGTCTTGGTCCCATTGCCGCTGAATGATCATGATGTGCAGGAGATTGAGGTCCCCGGTTATCTGCCAGAGCTCGACACTGGCGAGATTCAAACAATGCAGGCTGTAGTGGCCCATAAAGTTCGACCCCATAGCCTTATGGTGCTTACACTGCCCTCTCCGAGGTCGCCGTCGTCAAATGGTAATTCTCCCATTACCCCTAAGCTACAGACTGTGAAGATCACGCGTCATGCTCGGTCGAGGTCGTTGCCCGATGCTGGTCCTGGAGAGGAGACGCCGGAACCTGAGCAGTATCCTGAGCGACCGTCACCGACGGCATCCGAGGAGCGGAGACGACTCGAGACAATGTACGAACATGACGAAGATGATGAGCAGAATGCCCATCAGCGAGAAAAGTGTGAGCTCGTGAGCCAAGAGATAGAAGCAGTGCAGGAGACGACCAAAGTTCTCACCACTGCTGTGGTTCACGAGGTGATCACTCCGGTGTCCCCAACTTCACCAAATGAGACACAGATCCTCGATGGCCAAGGGACGCGCGCGAGGCCCAAATTGGCTTCTGCACAGCGACCACGACCAAAAACAATCCGAGAACCATCCATTTATGAAGAGCGGTCACCTCCTCCTACTCCTGTTGTGGATGAACCACAACAACGGGGGTCAACGGTCAACGAGGAGGTCCCCCAGACGCAAGGGGCTGACTCCGCTTCGGTAGCGCCCGCCGCCGATCTCGACGAGTTATCTTCCGAGGAGTCTCTAGCCCCTCCTACCACTCGATCTTCTACCGACGATGGTAATTCGTACAAGGCATCCAGGCCCGTTTCTACGTCGGGTGACAGCGCCTACTCTGACGTTTCGCGGAAATTGCCTAAAAGCAACCCTCTTTCAAACGGGGCCCACCACCGCTACGGGCGCTCCAGCCCTGGAATCTCATCTGTCAAATCCGGCATTGAGCGTGCAGCGGTCCAGAGACTCTCAGGGCGACCATCCACCTCAGTGACATCCTCAAGCTATTCCAAACCGCGCCGTTCGGATAGCTTCAGCAGCAACCGTGAGAAGCGTCCTGTGACGTCCGGATCATCTGCTTCGAGCAAGTTGAAAGGCTTGATTGTTCGCACGGGAGATTCCAACTCCTTGCGTCTCCGTAATTCGTCTGAGATAAGCAGGGTATCGACTCGGGAGTCAGCTTTTGATGACACCACCGGCCTAGATGAGCTCATCCGTAGCGAAGAAACTCTGCACTTTACATTGACCCCAAGAAACATGAGAGAAATAGAGGTACGTCTAATTCCATCGAAACTAAGATTGTGAAGGAATGCCACTAACTGTCAAATCAGTTGCCCGATTCCCCCAGATGGCGTGCCCAGCAGACCACTCCGTCTGAGTCAGATATCGCGAGACCCAGAACCTCTCACGCATCCTCTAAGAGTATCATGGACCTTGCTCCGATGTCCAAGTGCAAGTCATCGGATCAGCCAAAATACACACCGATTGTGGTGCCTCCTGTGCTCCCTCCACAGACCTCCGCCGAGCAAACCGTTGTAACGCCGACTTCAATGAATTCAACTGGATCGGGTACCCCCACAATCAGTGGATTCGACGAGAGCAGCCCCATCAAGCCATCAAGTGTGCGCCGCGTTTCAGATGCGACAGATGTCTCACGGAAGTTCTCCAGGCCTGCAAGTGCCTCAGCTCGTAGTAGTGGTCCACGGTTGCAAGCACGACCCGCTGTGACTCCCAAGGGAGACCAGACCTCCGATTTGATCGATTTCATCCGAGAAGGACCGCCTACTGCCGGTGCTCACCGTATCCCTCGAGCGGTGGCGCCGTTCCGAGATACCATGGATTCGGACGAGTTGCAAGCGCTTGAGTCGGGGCGTCCAAGCATGCAAGGATCGCTAACGACGAATACGCTTACTTCTATTGGCTCTCGCACCGGTCTCCTGGAGACAGGAAATCGGTCAAGCACTCCAACCACATATAATAAGGAAAACTCGGAGGATGCTCGGCCAAAACGAACACAGCGTCGGGTACGAGATCCTTACGCAATTGATTCGGACGATGACCTCGACGAGCTTCTCGAAGCCCCGAAACCAAAACGAGACGAGGAAAGTCTGATCGATTTCCTGCGAAATGTACCACCCCCGGCGGCTGAAACCCCACCGCAACCCTTGGCTACAAACATGGGTAACCGGCGCGGCTCGTCTGCAGGCTTCACGGGTGCTTCGTCTGTGAAAACGCTGTTATCTCGTAACGCAGCTGCCGACAAGAATTTTCTCCCCAAACCTTCAAAGGGCCCCCTCCGCCAAGCGTCTGACGGTTATATGACTGGGGCGACCAATAATTACACGACCAAAGCTGGCGTGGAGCGGAATGGGGGATCCATGAGCGGTGCTTACGGTCTACCCTCTGTCTCTCAGAGGCAAACTGAGACTAGCGCATTAGCAGACTTTCTCAAGAACACCGGCCCTCCTGAGCCTCCAGTGATCAGGCTCGCGCAGAACCTGCCTTCGAGCAAGTCGAAGGAATCAGGCTTCTCGCGCCTTTTCGGACGCCGAAAGAAAATTGAGGTTTGATACACGCCACCGTGGCTTTTCTTTCCCTTAATCACAGCTGTTGTCTTCTGCATGACTGTTGTCTCTGCGGGCTTTGAACACAACATGCTATGGCTGGCAAATGACCTGTCTTTCTGAGCGTTGTGGCTTTTGATGATGATACCTCTCCCTTCGATCTTTACCATTTCCTGTTCATATCTATATTTCCCACCCCTTTTCAGTCTTTACGCTGGGCTTTTATTTTTTTCTTTTCCACTTTTCGAATTTACATACCCTCTTCAGCCATGTACTGTTCGAAGAATATCCTCCATCGTTTGCAGCGATTCCCTTTTTCTACTATCGGTTGATTCCCAAACTCTCAGCTTGTTATTTTTACTGTATGAGATCATCAGGATCCTGATGCTCGACTTGCTAATCAATCTGGCATTCTGGGATCTACTTCTGGTGGTATCTTTTGACTCCTACTTTTGGTGAATGAAACGGTCTTCCGTGCCGATACTGTACATAATAAGATAACGAGCAGCAACTTAACAACACAAGAATGCCTATGACAAGATTTACAATGGTTGTGTGAAATCTTCTCTAGAATCAGCGAATCTGCTGAGTGTAAAACATGCCAGGTGCCAAGGCATCCATCCTGAAACGGGGGAGCAGGGCCGATAACCGGAAGAATGTTAGGCCGGGTGGACGGGATCCCCTAGAGCGCGGCGTGGCATCAATAATACTGGCCGCTCCCGAGCTTCGTTGTCAAATTCCCAGATCTCACTGTCGGCCGCTGCGACGATTGCCATTGACAATGGCGGCAAATCATTTCACCATGAGGTCCCTCCTCGGTCTTCTTTTTCTTCTTTTCGCCCAACTCTCCACCGCCCTCAAGTTCGACCTGTCTGCCGTCAGTGGAAAGAATGAACGGTGTATCCGCAACTTCGTCTTCAAGGACCAGCTGGTGGTTGTCACTGCCATTGTGAGCGGCAACAAGGGTGATGGACAGATGGTAAACATGCACGTATGTACAAAATAAGATTCGCCCCCAAGGCTGCTCCCCGTGCCGTCGATATTCGAGGAAGAACCATCGAGCTCGTCCCGAGATTCTGTGATCCTAGAATGAGCGAGGGTGGCTTCCCAGTGCAACAATCAATGCTAACTGTGTATGCTGGTACAGATCAAGGATGCACTGGGCAATGAGCACGGCCGCCCGAAGGATATCGCCGGGGAGGTCCGCCAGGCTTTCACTGCCCCCGCCGACACTGCCTTTGATGTTTGTTTCGACAACCAGCTCACCACCCGCCGTACGTTTGCTATTCCCCCCGTACTCGCGCCCTGAAGCTCTTGGAGAGAAGGACGTTGTCGTGGTCCCCAGCAAAATAACTAATCATCCATGCGGGTATAAACACAGACGCTATCCCCAACCCTTACAAGTCAGTCGAGCTCGATGTCGAAATCGGCGCCGACGCCCGCGACTGGTCCAGCATCCAGGTTCAGGAGAAGCTCAAGCCCGTCGAGACCGACCTCCGCCGCATCGAGGAGATGGTCGCCGAGATCGTCAGCGAGATGGAGTACCTGCGCGCCCGCGAGCAGAAGCTGCGCGATACCAATGAGAGCACGAACGAGCGTGTCAAGTGGTTTGCTTTCGGTACCATGGGCATGTTGGTCGGACTGGGCGCTTGGCAGGTGGTCTATCTGAGGGCGTATTTCAGGTATGTTGTATTTCTGTTTTGTTTTGCGGTCGTTCGACCGACGACGGGGCGGATTGTGCTAATCCTTTTGTCTTTGTGCTGTCCAGATCCAAGCACCTTATTTAGATTCTTTTTCTTCTTCTTGTAGCTTGGAGTGTAATTTTGTGGGGCCATGGAGGAGGTTACAGGTTGATGCTTCTCTAGCTTGTCATGACCAAATATATGGACTTTTCTCCCAATTGCATTTATATACGGTTTTTTGAGTGCGTGTTCTATTCTTCGCTGCAGTATGTCTGCACGCAATAGGCATGGTGATGTCCTTGTGTATGTGATGTATATGGGAACCGGGCCATAGGTAGGTACTTGGCTAGAACCTAAGGAAGTCAAGGGACTGGACCGGGCAGATTAAATGATTCCGTCTGTGTTTATCGACACTTGATGGAACTACGAGTATATGACCCTTTGTGCTCAGAGCTACAGACATGAGCTAATCATAAGCTATCTCTCCATCTCAACGTGACGAAAGTGCCAATCAAAAGAGTTTCCTCGATTGAAGTCATGATAGCATCAGAGGCAAAAGCTGCTACTGTTTCGAAATCGGCATGTTGCGGTTGGTGCATTGCACCGTGCAAACGCAACAAACAAAGCGTCTCCGGATGATGTCAACCCGGTCTTTGTTCGCCGTGGATCAAATGTTCTAATTGCCGACGGGACTTTCTGGGGAAGTCCGATCAAAACTCGTTATCTTTAGGACTTCGATCTCCTTTACAATTTTTGGGACAGCAGTTTCAGACAACAATACCACGAACAATGTCCGCTCCCAGATTGATCACCCGCTTCGTGCGGCCATCCGCATCTACCCTCTCCTTCACCACCACCGCTCCGACGACGACTTTTGCCCGGCGCGCTTTCGGCAACTCGGCTGTCCGCCTCAATAACGACGGTAACGAGGGCAGCGTGAAGAAGGATCGCGCGCCGTCGACGGCGCCCCAGCACCGCGAGAACAACACCAACAAGCCGCCCAACCCCAATGTCCCCAACACGACCTCCACGATGACCAAGGATTTCCCCAAGGTCGGCGCCAAGTCCTCGCCGCCGGACCTCGTGGGCGCCGTCGACCCCAACTACAAGCCGGCGGACCCGTATCCCGGCAAGGTCGAGCACTTCACCGGTGGGCGTGAGGAGACCGGAGCGCAGAAGCCGGAGCTGGGGGTGGGAGAGATGGAGGGGATTACCTTCCGCGTTGAGCCGCTTCGGCGGCAGGGCGAGGATGTGGCGACTATGCGGGCTAGGCTTTTGTGTATGTACTCTCCCTCTTTCTTCTATTGTGGCTGATCGCTTGGTGTTGCTCCTGTCTATCGTTCTGTTTGTGTGTTGCTGCCGTCGTATGCCGACACAGAGAGAGAGACAGACAGACAGACAGAAAAACTCCGCTAATGCGCTTTGGGGTGTGGTCGAACAGATCAGAGCAGAAAGCGCGGCATCCTCGAGTCCGACCTGCTCCTGTCGACCTTCGCCGATGTCTACCTGGGCAAGATGAATCAGGAGCAGCTGCAGGAGTACGACCGCTTCCTGGACGAGAACGATTGGGATATCTACTACTGGGCTACGCAGGATCCCCCCGCTGACGGCGGCGAGGAGTCCCCTTCGTCAACGGCCCAGGGTGCCCAGGATACCGTCACCGAAACCTGGAAGCAGACTGGGGCCAAGAGCGGCGAGTGGGCGCAGACCGTTGGCGCCTACAAGGCTGCATACCGGCCCGTGCCGTCGCGGTGGAAGAACTCCGATGTGCTGGAGTTGCTTCGCGCGCATGTGCGGGATAATAGCGCCACGGGCTTCCAGGCGGCGAAGAGTAAGAAGACTGGCGGTGGTGCTGGGTTGGGCCGGATGCCTAATGTGCAGATCTTTAATTAGAGGGACTAGAGGGAGGAAGAGATGGGGGAGTTGCTTTTGAGCTTTGTTGGTGTCGTGTGTGTATTATATAGGATAGGATGTGGTGGGATTGATCTTCTTGATATGTGAATTACAGTGCAATGGTTTGTTGCTAGTTGGGTGTTGGAGACATCTACTTCCTGCATTGAAGAAGCTGGGGTAGATGCATGTAGTCGATCGTCAGGCGATGCATACAGTTATGCAAGGCTGAGGTCAGCAGTGCACCACGTGACTCGCTTGTCCCGGCTTTAGGGTTGGGCGAGCCGCACAACAACCAGCCGGGCGGGCACGCTAGTTAGGGCTCAGGCGGGCACGCTGTCTCCTCCATCCTCGAAACAGTTGCTGTGATTTTTACTTCCAGCCCAGAGTCAAGGACAATTGCTCCGCCCGCGTTCATCCCTCTCTCCTCATCGTCACCCAGACTCCAACATGGCTGAGCAACTGGTCCTCCGCGGTACCCTCGAGGGTCACAATGGCTGGGTTACCTCCCTGGCTACCTCTTTGGAGAAGTAAGGGCCAAACACATACACCGAATTCCACCCAATCAACCGAAGTGCGATTTCTTGCGAAGCGATTGAAGAAAAAAGATAAGACACGAAATTATGGTGCAGGGCGATGGAACATTCTATATATGCTGCGCCCAAAATGAAGGATTCCGGATGTTTGGAGTGTGGTATATATAGGTTGTTTGATTGTCTGCAACAGGAAATCGTGAAGAAGAATGATGGCAAAAATCGCACTAGGTTGAAAATGATAATTTGATATGGACAACATGAGTTCTGACATCTTCTGTTCTCTCGACTTCTAGCCCCAACATGCTGCTCTCCGCCAGTCGCGACAAGACCCTGATCATCTGGAACCTTACTCGCGATGAGCAGGCCTACGGTTACCCCAAGCGCAGCCTTGAGGGCCACTCTCACATCGTCTCTGACTGTGTATGCTTACCGAAACCCGCTCCTCCAATACCTCCACCCCGTGTTCACCCGAGGCCTCCCAGCAATGTGCCCAGATAGGGCTGTTCGAAAGCTCGGAAGGGGGAAACAAGAATGGGAAAGAAATGATGGGCTGACCTTTGCGGGCTTTACTTCGTATAGGTGATCTCCTCCGACGGTGCCTACGCTCTGTCCTCCTCCTGGGACAAGACCCTCCGCCTGTGGGAGCTCTCCACCGGTGAGACCACCCGCAAGTTCGTCGGCCACACCAACGACGTCCTCTCCGTCTCCTTCTCTGCCGACAACCGCCAGATTGTCTCCGCTTCCCGTGACCGCTCCATCAAGCTCTGGAACACCCTCGGTGACTGCAAGTTCACCATCACCGACAAGGGCCACTCCGAGTGGGTTTCCTGCGTTCGCTTCAGCCCCAACCCCCAGAACCCCGTCATCGTCTCCGCCGGTTGGGACAAGCTCGTCAAGGTACGTTTGGTTGTTCGATATTCGTCTGCTCTCGTTTGTCGATTCTGTCCAGAAGATGTTTGCATATCTACGTATTTGCTACTTCAGAGCCTTCGGGCCATGAGACAAACAATCACCCAATGCCTGATGGACTATCGACAAACTTGGGCTGTTTTCTGTTTTGTTGCTCTTTGAGCACTGCATCTCAGGGTTGAGCAAATGACCCTGGTTGGCATGACATCCGAAGACTAATTCGCTCCATCGTCAATAGGTTTGGGAGCTCGCTTCCTGCCGTCTCCAGACCGACCACATCGGTCACACCGGATACATCAACACCGTCACCATCTCCCCCGATGGATCCCTGTGCGCCTCCGGTGGCAAGGACGGTACCACTATGCTCTGGGACCTCAACGAGTCCAAGCACCTCTACTCCCTCCAGGCCGGTGACGAGATCCACGCCCTGGTCTTCTCCCCCAACCGCTACTGGCTGTGCGCTGCCACCGCTAGCAGCATCACCATCTTCGACCTCGAGAAGAAGAGCAAGGTTGACGAGCTCAAGCCCGAGTTCATCGAGAAGGGCAAGAAGAGCCGCGAGCCCGAGTGCATCAGCTTGGCCTGGAGCGCTGATGGCCAGACTCTGTTCGCTGGTTACACCGACAACAAGATCCGTGCCTGGGGTGTTATGTCGCGGGCATAGATCATCCGCACTGCATCACCACCACCACAACACACCTTTTCTTAAGTTAAGCTAATTAAAAGGATTTTGGGGCGGAACGGAGAAAAGGAGCGCGGAGGAGCGAGTGAGTGAGTGAATGAGTGAGAGAGAGAGAGAATAACTACTCATGTTTGTTTTCGTCTTCTTCTTTTTCTTTTTCTTTTTTGATATTCCTTCTCCAAGCCCACAAATAAAAGAAAAAGAGAAAAGGGGAAACAGGCATTGGTTTGGGATGTATGAGCCATGAGCAAATGAAAAGCACTCTGGGTTTTCAGCCTTACCATTAACCCATCAAGACAAAAATGGGACCCGTTCACTCGGGTTGTTCTCTCTCTCCCCCTTCTGCCACACACCCAGAGTTCTTCTCTCCAGACTCTGAGCATGTCTATCTTACTCGGTTCGTTTGCCTTCGAAAATCTGAGTCGTCTGGATCTTTGTGAAGGATGGCATGCGGATTTTGTTCTGATACCATTAAAGAAAAAAGATGTTAAAAATTATACCTGCTCCCTTTTCACGCCTGCCACATGTAAACCTGTGGTGGCTATGTCGTAGGTATGTCACTGTTCTACTCGTACTATATTCCCTAGGTAATCTACTGGCGTATGATCTCATAGTTTAATGCTAGTGGAGACCTTTCCTCTCATATCACCTAGTTTACTTCTTTTGGTCTATACATAGTACTATGGGGTTTTCATAATGTACATCAACGGCCGAGAGTAAACCTACTCCCAAGGACAATCCAAGCAGAGAGGTTTAGCTCGACAAAGCTGCCCTAGTCTACTTCGTCTTGATCGCCTTCAACGCAGCCTTAAGATCCTCCGTCATGGCGGGATCCTCCAAGCGCCGAGCAGCGCTCAAGGCGTCCTGGTAAAACTTCTTCGCGTCTCCGGACTGGTTCTCAAACCGCGCCAGCTCGCCCAGAGTGCGCAACGCAGCCACACAGGCCTCGGTGCACTGTGCGTCCTGGCCCTTGGGGTCGACATTCGCTGCGCTTGCGGTGGCGCGCTCGAGCCATTTGCGGGCACCGGCAATCACCGTCTTCCGCTCCGTCACCACACCGGGTGGCGCCTTGGAAGCGAGGGCGAGATCGCCCATGCTTGCACCGATCGAGGCCATCAGCAGAGGCACCTTGCATGTCGGGTTGGCTTTCTCGGCGGCCATCACCACGTCGAGGGCGCGGATGAACAGCGGCATGCTGAGCTCCGGCTTGCCCTGGTTGTAATAATGGGTGGCCAGATCCGCCAGGGCGGTGGCAATCTCCTCGAGGTTCATCCAGCCGTCGTCTTCGTCGGTGTTGTCGGTAGTGTTGTCGGGGGTTTCGGTGGTGCGAGCGGATGCGGGAGCGGGAGCGGTGGTGGCCTTGTTGCCCACGGGGAGGCCGAGGTCGACGCGGCGCTGCATCTCCTTCAGACACAGCTGGACGGCGTAGCTCTGGTTCTGCTCGGCCTTCTCGGAGTCCTGGATGTAGTCGCTGTCGCACAGCTCGGCGATCTTCATCGAGATGCCGACGATCTTCTTGAGCACCTTGTTGACCTGGCGGTCCTCCCAGGCCTCGGACTCCTTCCGCGCCTCGACCTCAGCCGCCAGCTCCGGGCTCAATTCAGCCAGTTTGGCACTGTCCAGCTCAGCCGCGATGACGGGCCGCCCCTCCTCGTCCTTAATCACCTTAGCGAACTCCCCGTGGTCCAGCGGCGTGATCACCTTCCCAGGCACCGGCACCGACTCCAGCCCCTGCCCCTGCTTCGTCACCAGGTTCGACGGCACGGGACGCTCCTTCCGACTCCTCTGCACCCACTGCAACGCAACCTGCCTCGTCTGCTCCAACACGCTCACAGCCGCAGACACCAGCCCAGCCTTCTCAAACATATGCGCAATCTGCAGCCGCACGCCCACCATCTCGTCCGAAAACGGGTGCAAGCCCATCTCGATTCCGATCTTGTACGCGTCCTGGTACGCCTTCAGCGCCTTGCTCGGCTGCAGGTCCACCTCCGTGTAGTACACTGCCGTCCGCAGCCGCTCCGCCATCGGCGGCGGGAACTTCGTGTACTGCGGCGCCACCTGCGTCACCTCCACGTACGCGATGTACGCGAACAGCCCCGTCGCCGTGACCACGGACAGGATCGCCAGCGGTAGCAGGATCGGGTTCTTGCGCCAGATGTCCTTGCGCGCTTTCCGGAACCCCAGCTTCCATTTTTGGGCCGTCGTGAGCGTGCGTCGTGCTTGTGGTGTCGTGAGGGGGCTGTGGATAAGGGTTTTGGGGGTTGGTGCTGATTGTAGGGATAGGAGTGTCGTTGTATTGGTTGTCAGGCGCGGTCGGAGGGAGAGGCGGGTTGTTGAGAAGGGTTGGGCGTGGTGTGCTGGGAGGGTTCGGAGTCGCGGGAGGGCGCTGGTGGCGCGCCGGGGGAGCGTGCTCAGCATTTTTTTTTCGTTCGTTTTTCTTATCGTTGGTTTCTTGGTACTCTTATCGGATTGAAGTAGAGTGTAATTGGAGATGTTGAGGGATGATTGACTCTCCTCAATTGACAGCACCGAGGAGGCAGTCTTTTGTAGATGAAAGTGGCGGAGCGGAAGTTCAATCGTCGAGGTTGATGGCCGAGACGTTTGATCGCCCAGCCTAAAGCGGAATGGTCCGAGCGTTCCTCCTCCTCCGCCCTCCGCTGCATACATGACGTCGAACCTCCTCTTTCTCTCTCTCAAGGGAACTTTGTGTGCGACCTTTCTCGAATTCTCGAATTTAAAATAACTTGAAAGCAAAGTTGGCTTATCCATAATGTGCGGACGGTATGCGCTAGGCGTGGTATGTGAAATCATTAAGATGAATCCCCCCATCCTAAACATATACTTGTACGGGCACCTCGAGATTAACAAGCATAACAACAAAACAGCGCATGAACTTCGTTCGACGCCGGCTCCAAGAACAAGGCATGCCAGTCGACGAAGCACCAGACGACGACGAAGTGCGCGAGACTTATAATTTCGCGCCGGGGAATAATGGCGCCGTGTACCGCGTGGACGCATCATCACAGGGTTCTGCCCCCGGCGGTGTTGGCGCAGATGAGCATGAGCATTTGCCTCACGAGGACTCGGAACCAGAACAGGAGACGGGGGATGACTCTACAAAGGACGCCCACGTCGACACATCAAGCGAGAAGGGAACCGCCTCTCGCTACAAGATCCAGAGTATGAGATGGGGCCTCATTCCCTTTTGGACGAAGCGGAAGCCCGATTACGGGTCTCTGATGCGAACGATTAATTGTCGGGATGATTCCTTGATTGAGGACCGCGGGATGTGGACGTCGATGAAGCGGAAGAAACGCTGCGTTGTGGTCTGTCAGGGGTTCTACGAGTGGCTGAAGAAAGGGCCCGGCGGGAAGGAGAAGGTCCCGCACTTTGTGAAGCGGAAGGATGGGGATCTGATGTATTTTGCTGGATTGTGGGACTGCGTGCGGTATGAAGGTGAGTTCTATGTCGTGGTTGTAGGTGGTGAAGGTTCATGATGGGTATGAGAAGAATGGTTTGGCTGATGGCGGAGGATAGGGTCGGATGAAGAGCTCTACACGTTTACTGTCATCACGACATCTTCGAATTCATATCTGAAGTTCCTGCATGATCGGATGCCGGTGATTCTGGATCCGAATAGCGAGGAGATGAAGCGTTGGCTGGATCCCGGTCGGACTACGTGGTCGAAGGACTTGCAGGATATGTTGAAGCCCTATAAGGGCGAGTTGGAGTGTTATCCGGTGCCGAAGGAGGTGGGCAAGGTGGGCAATAACTCGCCTGACTTCATTGTGCCGGTGAGCAGCAAGGAGAATAAGAGCAATATTGCGAATTTCTTCGACAATGCTAGGAAGGGTGCACCAGACAGCGATCATCCAAAACAAGACACGGAACACAAGGTAGTCAAGGATGAGCATGAAGATCGTGCCACCGTAGACACCGAGTGGACCGAGGACAATGCACCGCAACCAGCTACGGGAGTCAAACGGGAGCATCCGGCAGAGGGCCCCGAGGAGGTTGAGGACGAAGCTGCCAAGAAGCAGAAGACGCAACCCAGTCCGGCACCGTCCCCAGAGAAAGACAGCAAGCAGAAAGTGAGCCCAGGGGAACCGGCAACTCGAGGAAAGCAATTGCGAAGTGCGACGCACAACAACAAGCCAGCAAAGAAGCCCCAGGGGAGGAAGGCGGCTGCCGGAACTCAGCCCATAACGAACTTTTTTCAAAAGTGATATGCTCCATCTATCTATGTGGTGGAAGCTATATTCTCGTGGTTGAATTTTGAGCGGCGAAGAGCTGGTCTCTGAGCGGCGTTGCTTCATCTCGTATCTAGTGTACAAATTGTTTCAACTGTCCAGCAGTTTGCGTGGGCGGCGTCTCTGGAGACGGGGCAAATCGGACGATGATGATCTATTGTACATGGTCACTACCAACAGAAAATGATCCTGTCTCGTGTTGGCGCAGCTTTTGCACCAGTTTTTCTCTCAAGAAAGGGCTCAAACCCAGACTATTGCAGGCTGGTTAGTCTTCATTATTGGGAAAATGGACAGCGGTCCTGGTATGACTTACATTCCGTCCCGAGTCACAACGCGATACGTCCCTGGTTAAGTCAGCATGTACCAGAGAGGAATGATCTTGGAGTACTCACCACTAGGCTGGTAGTTGCCATTTCCACCAACGAAGTTGCCTTCCCCATCAACTTCCAAGCTCCCAAAGATATCCTCAGGCCTATCGCTTTGTCAGTCGTTACCCGCGCTGGAAGTCAAACATCAATTCATACCAAGCAATACGGCCATATTCAGGTGGCCTGCGGTTATCCGAGAGATGAATCCATCCACCCCTTCCAGCAGACCCAACACCGCCTTGGCCACTGGCACCGCCACTGGAATCGCCTTCACTGCGGCGCTTCCTTGCACGCCCACCAGTCAAGAGCACTCCACCAGTGCTCAGATTAGCCCCGGAGGTAGACACCATCACTTGTGCTTGAGAGATAGCGTCGGGGTCTTTGTAGCCGTGCTCAGTCATAACATCTTGCAAAACCTGCAGGAACTTGGCGTTCTCTTTGAACGAGTCAGGCGTCGGAGGTAGTTTGGATGTTACTCCAATGGCCAGGTCGGGGTTTGTAGGCTCTGAGGGAAGTAAGGACAGTATATTGGTGCCGTTCTTGGGGAAGACATACTGCGACAAAGCGTTAACATGAAACTACTCTCAGATATAGCATCTACTAAAATTGGCGATCCTGCGCCGGTGGCATAAAGGATGAATGCACTTACTATGTGAGGATTGCCTTCCAAAGTTGACACAGACCGAATCTGTGTCCACCGAGGGATCTGTCGTACAGAGTTCCTGAGCGCAAACATGCTGAAGTGGCTCTATAGTAATGGTAATAATGGTAAACCAATTCTAGAATCGAGTGTGAAATAAATGAAGCGCAACCGTTAACCACCCCGGCCGATGACGACGGTAGAACAAACAGCGCAAACTCATGTGACTGCGCGTTTTCGGCCGCGCTGGAGCAGCTCCGCCGCAACTGAAGGCAGGCCAGTCACTTCCTTGTCTTTGTCCACTTAGCGGTCCCGTGGGGTTTTCTGCTCTCTTTCCTTGCTCTCAATTGGTGTTATATGTTTTATCGGAGTCCCTTTTCTTTTGAAAATATTATCAAGTGGTCATAAAGCTCGTTTTCCTTTTCCTTAGCGGGTTTACATTCTTGAGTAGATCCGATTTGACTCCGCATGGCTCTGTCTTAGCCTGAGCGTGGTCATTATTCTTATCGTGATACCCAGATTCCGAGCCTCGCACCTTTCCAAGTTTGCTGTCGCATTGGGATCTATAAGCTCCAGACTAGTTCTCTGTTTCTGCTACGTCGGATTGAACCTTAGCAACGGGAGCCCGTCATGGCGACGCCATCATCCAAGCCGAACCCCGGAGCAACACCGACCTACCTGACTTCGTCGCCTCGTCCTGCCGGAGCGCATCCGGCCCGGCCCATTGCGCACAAGTCGCCAGCGGGGAGAACACCTTCAATCTCCGGACCGGGCGGACATATCCAGCCTCCGGCCACCACCAACAGTAGCAGCAACAACCCCACCTCGGCGCACCACTATGCCACCCCTCTCGCAGCGACCACGGGCGCCGACGACCCCGTCACCTTGAGCTCGCCGTCGGCGCTGCTCGCGCTCGGCGGCTACAGCGGGATCAGTCCGTCGCCGGCAGGAAACGACGGCCTGGTGGGCGCGGGGATGAACGACAACGATATCCAAGCGCTGGGCATGCAGGGGCTGAAACTCGGTGGTGGCGGCGGCGGTGCCCGCGACAATGACGAGGAGCGGAAGAGGCATATTGAGGATGTGGTGCAGCTGCTGCGGACGCGCATCGCGGGTCGCGGGGTCTGCCGCGAGGGCATCGAGCGGTTGGGCCAGCTCGAAGGCTTCGAATCGATCTGGCAGGAGGACAGTCTCAGTATCGCGGGGAACTTTGTGGACCTGGAAATTGAGTTCCATCGCGGCCATAACGTGGTCAAGGATGTGAGCTTGACTTATGTGACGCCTGAATCGACGGATGGTGGGGAGCGGCGCGAGGAGGCCACGGCCGTGCTGAAGCGAGACCTGATACAGTCGCCCGAGGACGGGGAGCGCGGCTCGTGGAAGCCCTTGACGGGGTTTCATGAGAATCTGCAGTGGCTGGCTCGTCATGATAGGCTCAGTCAGGAGGTTAACTGTTTCGAGGCGATTGAGGGCCTGTATGAAAGCTTGAAGCGGGTATGGGATGCGGAGTGGGATCGCCGCAAGTTTCTGGGGGTCTACGATCATCTTTGCAGTGGCTGGGTTGGTCGGCCGTGTCTGCATAAGGGGGGTCGCGTGGGGCTCAGTCTTGACTACTGGGTGCAGCAGGCTCGGGTACTTGATGCGAAACAGGCGAGACAGAAGCAGGTTTCTGCAGACGAGATGGCAGTCGATCAGCCAGCGGAACAGGAAGAGGCTGGACGGAAGGGCAAGTGGAGTGTTGTGATTGAGTGCGAGGAAGGCTATCCATCGCTTCGTGTGTCGAAAGATTGGGTTGCGTCGGAGGTTCTGACATCAATCAACAGTGGCGGTGATGGGCCATCCTCGAGTGAGTCGGTAGGTTCTCAAGAAGTGGTGGTCAATTGGGCTGAACCTCCTGAAACCTCGATCTCAGCCACGCAAGGCGACTCGGATGCCATGGCGCTCGACTCGGGCATGCTTGGCTCATCTGCGCCCAACCGCCGCTTTGTGGCTAGGATGGAACCCCCTCTGGACCTGCCCATCCTGGCAGCGTCAGATATCTATCGCCATCTCGGCATGCAGATGCCCCAGGAGTTCAAGATGGTAACCTATGACGGGTTGCTGGCTCCTGGCTGGTCACCTTTGTCGGCAGCCGGTGCAATGGGACTGGGGCCGGAAGAAGCCTCCCAGCTTGGTCGCAGAAGCCGCAGGATGTCGCTCCAGACTATTGACAAGGATGGTAACCCTTGTACGAAGCAGCATTGCTACACGTTCCAACCGTTTGAATCTGTTGCAGGCCGGACTATGAGAGACTTCCCCTTCTCACACCCAAGACAGCTTGCAGACATACTTCCGGTAAGGACACTGTCATTCAACCTTCTGATTACATGTAGTATACTGATGCGTTCATCCTTAGATCCTTCGACAGTACGCATTCTTGGCGAACCTGATCCGTAGCATTTTTACCACCACATCTAAACCTGACAACGACAAACTCCACGCCCAAGAAGATTTGTCCAGAGGACTTTTCAACCCCTCGAATTTCAACAGATCACAGATGTCACGGAAAGGCGACATCATCATTCTCAGCAATGACGATCCTAACGAGAAGAAGTTGAACTCTTTGCTCGGGGGCTTGGGGCGAGGGGGTGCTCATACCGCGGGCAAGGGGAAGGGTCCTACGGACGGAAGCTCTGACGAAGACTCGACCACCGAAGATGACGTCAAAATAGACGTGACACTGCGCACGCAGCTTGGCCAAGCCCCGGTCATCATGCTCCTGTTCACTGTGGACCACTCCGACGGAGAATCAGTACGAGATCAGGAGCTCCATGCGCTGAGTAAAGTCTCAGTCAGTCTCGAAGTTGGACTCAACGGGCGCGTTGCCATCATTGATATGACTGGCCTGCTTGATGATGAAAACGACAAGGCGGACAAGGCGGACACTCAAGCAGCCGACAGTTCTGGTAACGAGCTACTAGAACTGCAAAAGACCATCGCGCGGGTGTTGGAGGTTTCGCAAGACCTGGGGATTCTGGTAGAGTGGGTTGTACGATGGGCCCGGCAACGCAAGAGCCGCTGATAGCTTATTCTCTCCAAGACCGGGGTAAGTCCAGCATGCGCTGCACCATGGTGGGGAGAGTCGCCTTCCAGATAGTGACCTGTCGATTGGCAATCGGACAAGGCGGTGACGTAATGAGGATAGCTCCGCCTTACTGGTCCTATCTCTCGTTCTGTCTGTGCATGGGGGAAGGCTTGAACAAGCTTTGTACGCCATTTTGGAAGCAGACCTCTCCCCCGTTCCACTCGAGTCTAATCCTAATGCAGTATCTGCATGGAGCGTACGGGGATCATGGGTCATCAGATCGCAAATTGGCGTCAGCGTCTCTGATCTGCATTGAACTGGGCCTAGCCGGATATGGATCGGCTACTGATTCATGCTCCAAGACACTACACCCCGGGATTCATGTGAGCTCACAGAGCTGCGTCATGTCATGTGCTATCATCGGATCGTGCAGCGTGGGGAGGAAAGGGGGGAATGGTTCCCTCGGCCCTCGAGAACCTCGATCAGCCGAGGGACAAGGGAAGGGATACTATACGAGGCTTTGGAACCAGACAATAGATACGATCGATCATATGTTTTTGCAAAATAGCCGTCAGCCCTCCCGGACAGTCATGATTTATGGGCAAATTTCTACTGTACCTTGCAGGAGGACCCATAAATAGGTAGGGTAGTCTAGCTCGGTTCTTACTTGGATACTTTCTCCCATACTAATAATACCCGACCCCAGAGATTCTGCCCATAGTTATGTCCGGAGGACCTCGAATGAAGCATCGCAGTAGAAGAAAGAAAGAAATAGAGAAGAACGGCAGTACCCGAGCACACACCCTCACTCAAGCTTCACAACAAGAGGATGGGGAGAGGGGAAAACGGTTTTTGAGCCCATCATCCCTTGGAAGAACGGACGCATCTCTCAAATGCAAGACCCAACCAAACAACAGAAAAGCGCGCAGCCTGGCATGCCAATTTCCACACCCAAAACCACACCCAGAGATCGAGCCAAAGTTCCGAAAGTAAAGTATGAGGGATTAATTCTTATCGCCATCGCCATATTCCCGGGACCCAACAAAACAACATGAAGGGGAAGAAGTAAGGGGAGAGAGACCCTCGGTAGGCTCGCTAGGTAACTAAGTTTTGATAGTTGTCAATCTGGTTCGTGTTTTAATTCCCGCGCGCACAGACTCGCTTGAACGTTGAACGATGAAGCAAAAAAACGTAATAGCGAGCTGTCAGCGCCTCTTATCCTTCCTGCTGCATATATTCTGTAATTGCGTTAAGAAGAATGCGGCGTGGGGATATATGCTATGAAGTAATTTGACTTTTTGGACGCTGGCTGCATTATTGATGTCGATTTGTACTGTAAGTAGTTTGTTCGCGGGATCGAATCGGATCATCTGCGCGAATTACTCTCCTTGTCTTCTGTCTATCTATCTATCTGTCTGTCTCCTTGTAGATCTTGGAGCTGAGATGAGGTACTTACTTACTCCTGTAGTGTACAGTAAGTAGTTAGCTAGTGCCTGCCTGCCTAACTATGGAGCTGCGCTGGTATGTCGGGCTGCGAGGTTCGGAGCTATTTACTTGCTTAGTTACTTATAGTGCTTACTTACATACCTGGTGAACTCTTTCTTGCACAGTATTTTCAATTTGAAGAATACGTACTTACTAGTAGCAGTACACTAGGGTTCTTTTGAGTGGTGCAGTGGGTTGTTTCTGGTGTCTTTTGTTTCAGGTTTGCTTTACTTGCTTTACTTGGCTTTTGGTTCTTGGTTTGGACGGTGATGTTCATCGGCTCTTTTTTCTCTTTCCTTTTGCGCTGCTTTGATCGGGTTGGGCGACTTGGAGGTAGCTTGTTTGAGACTTCTTTCCTCAGGAATTGATAATTGTGAAAGAGTTGATATTGAGATGGATAGTATACAGGCGTGGTGCTTCGAGGTGCGGTGCATACTGTAGTTCGCGGGGGATATGAGTCAGACACCCACAGTACCTACTCCGTAGTTAGACTCGGTTGGAAAAAAACCGAGACGCGGCAGATAACTGCAAATTTGGATCAACTGTATAACACAGAAACATAGAACCGGATAAAAGTGGGGAGGTATGGCTTGGTCTAATCAGCTACTTATCAGTTTGAGTCGGAGCTGTCATTTCGGTAGTATGTAAATTGCTTCTTGTTGCGGTCAATGTGAGGTTTTTTTTTTCTCTCGGAGTATGCAGGTCAGTCGGGCAGTTTAGTTTCGCCATGGAGATTGTGGCTGGGAATGGGGATATTGTAACTATATTACATCGATAGTCTGGTGAGTTGACGCGATATCTGAGTTGATACAGTAGACTAGAAGGGTCGGCTGCATTTGAGTTCAAATGAAGTATAATAACCGAATGAAAATTCTAGAGTCATTCTAAGTGTTCCATCGCAGTGTATCGCACAGTGTGACAGTGCAGAGGGCAATAGGCAATAGACTTCTCAACATGCAGTGCAGTCCCTCAGCTTACTACTCTCTATTATGCATGTCATTCCACCGACTCGACCACCGCCAGCCATCTAGAACCTCAACCGACCGACCGGGCTTCGTTAGTCTTGAAGATGATTCTACCCAACCAACCTTCTTCACTCACCCACTCGCTTCCCATTGTCCTCGTATGATGGGATATGGACTTTTGCAATTACCGCGAATCCAGCCAACTAACTACGCAAGACTAAAATACTGAATCCTTGTGGCTCAGTGAAGTTGAAAAAGTCTTGGATGCGTCAGGTGTTCTTCTTGCCCCCTTTGGCATCTCCACTTCGTCAGTCCTGTTTAGGCCTTAGTTCGTAGTCCTTACCCGACCGCCGGCCCGGCCATCAAACAATCTGCCCTTGACCCAACTTTCGTTGTACCCGCCACACTTGCTCGATTTTCTTCAGCCGAATTCGAACGCATTCCCCTTTTCCCTGAGATCAAAATGCGCGCGATTCTGTAACTACCACATCGCCGTTAATGTGAACTGTCTGCCCTGCTGTCTGCCATGGCTGGCATCGGCCCGAGACCAGTCAGCACCGTTTGTCATAACCGGGGGCGGCGGGCCAATCGGCAGTGGGCGATAAGGGCAGACACGCAGCGGAGATGGTGATTGATCAGGAGGCGGGGATCTACACCTGGTCCCATGGATGTTTCGACCCTCCGATAAGCTGATTGTGCTTTGTTGCTTGGCCGGTGAGGGATTAATTCCCCCCCATTTCCCCATTATGCTGCAACTGGACGCGTGAAAGGGCGCAGTCCGTTCTTTCTCCAAGGCTCCAAGGACTCCCGACTCCACTGCAATTGACGCCATGGTTCGATAATCCGGCTGCGAAATCGTGCCTGACCTGGCAGACTGACCACTTGGACGGTCTTGGACCAAGGACAATCAGCTGAAATGGGAATGTTGAATAATAATGGAACAAAGATGGTGTAACGATTCTAACGACGGCTAAGCCGCAGGCGGGCGGCTAGACACTTAGACAGAGCAAGCGCCTGCGCCACAATCAGGAGTTGAAACCAGCTTCTATTCCTGGCCTTGACCGCCTCCGCAGTCCGCTTAGAATACGGGAGCCTGGTTGTTTATAGAAACAGTGTCTCTGACTGAGGCTGCGTGGAATTAAGCTATGATGCTCTGGAATGAACTTCCATGACATCGGAGGGACCAGGTAAACGAGCCTGTATCCGGGTGGAGGCCTGAAGAGTCAAGGCCTTGACGACATCCACAGGGCTGATCGGGGAGGGTTGCCAGCAGGAATTCCTGAATCTCCCGGCTTAGCCCTGCTGCGGCTGCCATTTGTCACAGAAGACCCGGGGAAGGAAGTCATAGTTAATGATGACGCTGGTGAGCGGGAGCCCCCTTCGATCGGACACTAAGAGACATGATGAGGGTCGCCACACCAGTGACCACAAGCAGAGAGAAGCGAAAGTCTGGGGGATAGACAGGGATGGTTGGATAAGGGCTTTCCTCCGGAACCCCTTCACCTACTACTTCCTCCGTACACTCTGCCCGTTCACCCGTCCATTCTTCCTTTTCCCCTTTGACTTTTCCCAGTCTACCAGCGGTGCGAGGAACCCTTTCCCCCTTTTGCGCAATCTCTCACCAAGGCGGTGGCACTCGGTTGATTGGTCGTATTAGTCACCAACCCAGAAATAACTGGCGTTAACATGGAAACATGGCCGGTCTCGGGGGTGACGACCGTGATGGTGACGCTTCTTCGAGAATGGTTTTGCCACGCCCCACCGGACGTAAAACTGGGTTGCCCGTGTGGTATTGAGATTACCGGCTGTTTGTACAGGGAATGCATTCCCTGGGGTAAAGCTGTCAACGAGGATATCCGAATCTCTGCCTTTCCCCAAATTCCAACTCACTGCATCCGACCTGCGCGCACTGCTTCCCGACACGCTACATGGACAAGTCGAGCATTGACGCGACACGGTCTAATTCCATCCATGCGCGATTAAAATGAGAAACTCTCTTCCTTGTCCTAAATCAATCGGCAGGCGCGCCAGGATCCACCCACGCGACTCATGGCGGGGTTTCGAGGGGCAGTCATTGATAAGACCTCTCCTCAATTTAGATAACCGCAGGTACAGGCGGACCAGTACGTATCGGGGTATCTTTTGCGGCGGTAATATCCTGGTATAGAATCCTGCGATATCAAAATCGCAGCCTCGGTTTCCTCCTGTGGTATATTGGGGGAAAGCACGATTGCACATGATGTCGCTGTCATCGATGTCATCCATGAGGGCGGTCATGAAGCTGCCTTCTGCCAATAGAAACCCGAGTTAATGCGATTAGGCGCAGGCCATGTCCGAACTATTCGGGCCCTGCAGCTGATATGCATTGGGACTGACGGCCGGTTGACATTGATAATAGGTTTTAGCAACCTTTTCGTGTCGCTATCGCTCAACCATCAAGGATAGGAGGGCCAGCAAAGAGAAGGCAGATGAGGGATCAGATTATATCACAACCTTAATGAAGGAGATGGAGGGAAGGGAAGGAATGACGGTCAGCCGACAGGGAAGAGGGTGTGGTCTGCCAATTATCAGTCTCCTGAATTTTAGTACTGTACGTCCGTTCATTGTTTTCTTGATAGGAACAGATGGACCCGGGTCTGACCTCAGATCACCGTCGCGTGGGGGGCCCAGCATCAAAGATGATCCATCTGGGGAAGCCCAACCGCATCCGGTCTGGGAGGAATGAGGGTATGGTGACTGCTGCCCTGACCTGGGTTATCGCACCAGGCTTTGCCTATCGGAAAACAGGCAGATGAGATTAGTGATTCTGGAGATAGTGGGCAGTGGACACTACAGTAGGTCGCAGAGCAGAGTGGATGAAGCTAGATTAAGCTGATGTGGCCGGCAGTCTATAGTTGGTGCATCGAGGTTACCCGTTCGGGTAATATCCGTGCTGGACTTGGCTATCTAAAGTATGAGAAAAGACCGTTTATACCATCCACCCCGTTCACTGAGGAAATCAGTTGAGACTACAGTCGCAATTGCCTCCCCCTGAACTAGTTGTTTCTGATTCCAAAAATACCACGCAGCCAAGGATGGAGGGATAGGACTACGACTGCCAGCGTGAATAATAAGTGCTAAGGAGACTCGATATCGGAAACAGCGAGTGGTCGAGAAGAGCCCATTGATAGAGGGAATGCGGGCGCAGCGATGGTGGCGTCTCGGAGCCCTGGTCAACCCTGCAGCCTTGGTTGCATTGTTGCATTTGTATGGGAGAACTGTGTTCCATCGCTGACACCTGTAGAGGTCAAATTCGTAGAGTGAAGACAGGAAGAATAAAGCATGGGGAAGTGTTATCATGAAAGAAAAGCACTGGAGACAGACAATGATGGACTTCATGGAAGCGCATTGCATTGCATCCAATGTGCCGGGTGCAGTAAGTACTCAGTAGCAAGTAAAGAGAGATGGGCGGTAACGACGATAACGGATGGAGCGATTAATTACCAGCACCCGAGACCGTGCCCAACCGGAACAGTAATTTTCACTTTCAGTTCAGGTTTTATTTTGGATCTCTTTTTTTATTCCTTGGGTGGGACTGGGTCTTTTTTTTGCCCCCGTCGAAAAGAGAGAGAGAGAGAGAGAGAGTCTTTGCCGGTCAAGCCCCAGGCCCGACCGACCACCGAATTTCAATGAATCAGAATCAATAATGAAATGATTAAATCGTGGCAGAAAAAAAAAAAAAAGAAAAAGCAAAAGACGCACCCGCCGCCTTTCCCTCTTTCCTAAAACTCGATCTCTTAAATTTAAAGGATATCCTCCCCCCACCCAAATCCATCCCGCTTGTACTTGCTTTCTCCATTCTCATCCCATCATTTCATCTCCTCTCCGCCATACTTTTATCTCTCTCTCCCTCCCTCTCTCTCTCTATTTCAGAGCTACGTTTGATCCTTCCGCCGCTCTCGCTTTATCACACTACATCAATCTTTGATTGTCTTGTTGTGTCTTCGACTGTGACTGAATAAGTTCAAGTCCACTAGCTTCGCATCTGCAAGCTTGATCGCTCCAAACCATCTTTCTGTTTCTATCTTTCACACACATATATTCACAATGGTACGCATTCCTCCAGTCGCCTGACGCTGTCTTCATTCGATGCAGAGACCAGAACTGTGCGCTGACTCATACCTCCTTCACCTGCAGGCTGAATCAACCACCATCTCCAACACGGAGAATGTGCGTTTTTCTCATTGACACCTTGCAAGATCTTTCTTGAACCGCATGGCGGTTTTAAGGAAATCTCATACTGACTGATGCGCTGGCAACAGCTCATGAAGTACATGTCCCTCGACCAGCGGGGTAACATTCAGGCCGAATACATCTGGGTTGACGCCACCGGTGGCTGCCGTTCCAAGACCAGGGTATGTTTGGGTGTTCTTGTTGCTGCCCCCTCCCCTTATGCCAGGCGGGTTGCAGCGTGGGCTGGAATGCAATGCGAACAGGACGACGGATGGGGTGGTCGTTATCTTGAATGATTGACGATTGCCTGGTCTCCCGATAAGCCCTGCGCACGGGGATCCGATCCTGCACGCGCCGTCTGCAATCCACCTGCATAACATCACGTGACACTGGGAATCCATGACTAACCATCCTACCCGCAGACCCTGTCCAAGACCGTCAAATCCGCTGACGAACTCCCCGAATGGAACTTCGACGGCTCTTCCACCGGCCAGGCTCCTGGTGACAACTCCGATGTCTACCTCCGCCCCGTTGCTATCTACCCCGACCCCTTCCGTCTCGGTGACAACATCCTCGTCCTTTGCGAGACCTGGGACTCCGATGGTACCCCCAACAAGTTCAACCACCGCCACGAGGCTGCCCGTCTGATGGAGGCCAACTCCAAGGAGGAGTTCTGGTTCGGTCTGGAACAAGAATACACCCTCCTTGGTAACGATGGCTGGCCCTACGGATGGCCCAAGGGCGGTTTCCCCGGTGCCCAGGGTCCCTACTACTGCGGTGTCGGAACCGGCAAGGTCTACTGCCGTGACATTGTTGAGGCTCACTACCGTGCTTGCTTGTACGCTGGTATCAAGATCTCCGGTATCAACGCCGAGGTCATGCCCTCGCAATGGGAGTACCAGGTTGGCCCTTGCCACGGTATTGAGAGTGAGTCCCCCGATTAACCGAATCCTGTGATCGAGGAGTACTAATCTGTTTCTAGTGGGTGACGAGCTCTGGATGTCCCGTTTCCTCCTCCACCGCGTCGCTGAAGAGTTCGGCGTCAGAATCTCTTTCGAGCCCAAGCCCATCAAGGGTGAATGGAACGGCGCTGGTCTCCACACCAACGTCTCTACCGCTTCCACTCGTGCTGACGGTGGCATGAAGGCCATCGAGTCCTACATGAAGAAGCTGGAGGCCCGCCACGTTGAGCACATTGCCGTCTACGGTGAGGGTAACGAGGAGCGTCTGACCGGCCGTCACGAGACCGGTAACATCGACAAGTTCAGCTACGGTGTCGCTGACCGTGGTGGCTCCATCCGTATCCCCCGCCAGGTCGCCAAGGACGGCAAGGGTTACTTCGAGGACCGCCGTCCCGCCAGTAACGCCTGCCCCTACCAAATTACCGGCATCATCGTGGAGACTCTTTGCGGTGGCATCTAAGTGCGTTAGCACCTTACTCAAAATGTGAACAACATTTCTTCTTAGCGCTCGTATACCCTCCGGCGTCGACAAGGAGTCAGATTGCAACGCGGCCTGGTCATGTGAGAGCAACTATAGAATTTCGCTTTTCTTCTTTTCTCTCTTCATGATGGTACCTCGGGGTCTTTTTACATCCTCTCTCGTGCCAGCGCCTGTCGTGCATTCGTTGTCCTGGTTGCTGGTCTTGCATTTATTCTTTTCTTACCTTGGGTTATGTGTTACGTATGGCATAGAGGACTGAATCTCGGAGGAGAATCCGACAGTCTTTTGAAATTGAAACTGGGGATGAACTGGAAGGATCAAATAGCTTTAAAGGCCGGTTAGCACGGTCAGTATTATAGTGTTCGAATAATCAATCGTTGAGAATACATCCTCGGGATGTTGACATATCAAGCAAGCATTTTGGTCTGCAATTGCACTTGTAGAAAGTATGGAAGTCGAAGTATGGCAGTTGAAATATATCGAGTTCAAGCACATAAGACTAGAAATTAGATACAATGATATAGAAAGTTTACACTTGTCATGGCGTGGTCAGCCGTATAGACTGTCTGACTCACTTGTGCAACACCAGTAGGGGTCGGGGTCCCGTTAAGCTTCTCCTCCACATCTAGATAGGTAGGTAGCCTGGAGAGAACCAGATCAGCCCCTCTTCTTGAACGCCTTAAACAAACCGGCCCCCAACCCATCCAACCCCCGCTGCCTCGCCTCCCGCCGCGCAGCCCCATCCACCACGACAGTCTCCTCCCCGTCCCCCTTCCGTTGCTGTCCACCGTTCTTCTTCATCTTCCCATCCACAACCCGCAACAAAACCTCCATCGTAACCGCAGCAAGGATACTCGCACACAGAATCCCAACCATCACAAGATTACTCTTCCGATACTTCGCCCGGCCCGTCGCCTGATAATCGCTCTTCCACCCGGAATACAGCGCATACGTGGTCATGATACTACCTAAATTGCCCAATCCGGAGACGACGGCGGACGCGGCGGCGACGCCGACCTCACCGTGGCGCGGTTGGAAAATCTCCGTTGTCCAGGTCATGGTGATGGGGACCGTGGGGCCCAGTCCGAAGCCCACGATTAGGAGGCCGCCGTAGCGCGGCCAGGGGTTTGTGGTTGTTCCCGCGTAGGTTGTTAGTAGGAGGCCTAGGATCTGGAGGAGGACGGGCACGGAGAAGAAGAGGGAGCGGTGGCGGTGGAAGCGGTCGCTTATGGGTGTTATTAGGAGGATGGCGATCAGGTCCATCTGTTTGGGAGGGTTAGTGAGTGGTTAGTGAGGGCATGGATTGGGGTTAGATGAAGGGAGGACAACGTACGATCCAGATCGGAGCTGTCAGGAGACTTAGGTCGATTCCGTTCAACGATGGGTTGATGCTTTGGATGATGACTGTGGCGTAGCTCTGCGTGCCGATGCCGACGCCCACCACGCCGAAGTACATGATCAGCAATGGCCAGAGCCGCCAGTCCAGGAACACATTCAATAAATCCCGCCACGTCCATTGGGCGCGGTGGTACACGCGCTTCAGGTCGCGGTAGTGGATCTCGGCGTCGCGGCCGCTCAGGGCTGGCGGGCTGCGCGGGAGCCACCAGAGGTATTTCTGCTTCTTGGGCTGCGCGCCGGGCGCCAGAGGCCGGTCCGGGAGCCACCAGAGCAGCAGCACGCCGACCACGGTCGTGATCACCCCGTACACGAGGAACATCCACTGGAAGCCCACCAGGCCGCGCTCGCCGTCCATCTTCTGGAACCCGGCGGAGACCAGACCGACCACTGCCGCGGAGACCTGGGCGGCTGTGTAGTATTGGCCGATGCGTTTGCCCGTGCGGGAGGGAGGGTAGAAGAGCGTGAGGTAGTATGTCATGCCGGGCCACATGCCTGCGATGACGATACCGAGGAGTAAACGGAGGAGGCTGTGGTGGATTAGTGGCTGGCAAGATAAGATACCCACCCCATCAATTGGATGAACATACTATAGACTCCAAGCGGCTTTCATAGCCGCCATGCAGCTCCCGATGATTCCCACGCTGATGACAATGCGACTCATCCAGACATGCGGACTCAGGCGGGTCATAATCAAGTTCGAGGGCAGATCGAAGATCACATAGCAGACGTAGAACAGCGCCAGAGCGGTGGAGATCTGGTGCGGCGTCATATTCAGCGCCGAGCCCAGATCATGACCCGAGCTCGCGTTCATCGTCTGCGCGAGACCGACATTGGAGCGCACCGCGGCACAGAGGAAGTAAAGCACCCAGAAGGCGGGGATGATGCGGAAGTCTAGCTTTCTGCAAGGGACACACCAATAAATTTAGCCATTGCAGTCTGCAGGGTGGTTAAGCAAACAAACTGACTAACTGGTCCACTAACCTATAGATGCGCTCGATCTCGGCAATGTCGGCCTCGGACTCGGGCTCACTGCCCGTTTCCGGGTCGTGCTCGCCGTCACGGCTGTCGAGCGATCGCTCGTGAACGCTTTCTGTGTTCGGTTGTTTGGAAACCCCCTGGGGATGGGGTTTCGGCTCTTCCAGGGACATCTTGGCGGAGCGACCAGGCGGGGGGGG